TTGTGACTGTGGGCAAGTTACTCACCCTTATGAATCTCATTTTGTTCACCTGGAAAAATAGGGATAATCATATATGCACTGCCTACTTTATAGGATTTTGTAAGGAACAAAATGTGACCTTTGTGAAACTTTAAATGCTGTAGAAATTTGAGTTACTATTGTTCTAAACTCCTTAAAGGTAGGCTCTTTGTCATTTTTCATCTTTGAATCCTCAGCACCAAGCCCAGAGACCCCCGAGTTGAGTTTAGCCCAAGAGAACAAATGGGTTTTGTTCATTTAACTCAGAGACATATGGGACCTGAGTTCAGATCCACCCTTGACGTGGCAATAACAATGCCTGTCATACCTACCTGCTTCAGAGGCTTACTGCGAGGATCAGATGAGAAGGTAATATATGGAAATGCTTTTTGAACTTCAAAACACTATAAATGCTGGCTGTTCTATGTGCAAATACCTTGCATGTAAATCTTCCATGTGTTTAAATTTATTTTTTTATCTTTTTTAATAATATTTTATTTTTTCCCATTTACATGTAATGTTTGGTTTTAAATAAACATTTCATAGGATCATAAAACATAAGATTTAGAACAGGAAGAGACCTTGGAGGTCAGTGACCTCAACTCCTTCGTTTTGCAGATGAGGAACTAAGGCCTGGAGGGACTGACTTGCCCTGGGTCTAAAGCAACATTTCAGTGCTTACAGTACCTTCCGCTGTACTAGACAACAGGGCATCGTACTTGCCCCCCCCCCAGCAGCTCACAGTTAAGTTGAGGACATAAGATATACTTGAAAAGAATGAAGCAATGTCAGATGTTCAGGTACAGGAATGAACAATTCTTGCCCAGGTTGGAGCATACCTAAGAAGGACTGGTAAGAGTGTGTTTACCTCATAAGACGTTAAATTGGAAAGGAAAGTTAGGGAGGGGGAAAGTGAGTATGGATTTCTACCAAGTTAAATAACAATTATATAAACCACAGTGTAGGTAGAATAGCAGTAGAGAAGCCAAGAAATTTGTAGGAGAGAAAAATCGAAGGAGCCATCAGTAAGAGCCATGACCTTGGATGCCTATGTTCAAATGCACAAAGGTTAAAAAAAGCCAGAGTGATGGTGGTGGTGAATGAGACATCCTGATATGAAGCGGCAAATGTGACCTCAGGGATGTCACTGAGACTTGACAGTGGAATGTGGATGGAATGTGGATCCAGAATGGTGTGTTTTATTAAAAAAAAAAAGTTTTAAGTATGGACTGAGAAGCATCACATATGAAGACATTGTCACATGAGGAAATCCAGGAATCAAGGAAAAGAGCCTGTTAGAGAACATCTGGGTGAATTTCAACAGGCGATATTGCTATTGACCACCTGAACAGAAGGAAGAACTCGATGAGATCAGGCATAGAAACGTGATATGGAAACAGAAAAGAATGGTTATATAGTAGAGATAGGAGACTTTAAGATATCTAGACATCTACTGGAGCTCTCAGCCAAAAGCAGAACTACTAATGATTTATTAGATTGCTCAATGATAATTTTATGCTTCAAAAAATGGATGTGATTCTCATTGACAAGGAGGAAGTTACTGAGTGAAGTAGAAGAAGCTTTGGTAGCACAGGTGGGGAGGGAGCAAATGGTGACCTTTCCATCTTAGAGTTCACGACAGATAAGGGAAGGAAAGCCAGGTGTGATCTGACATGCACCCTGCTTCGGGGAAGACCAGATTTTAAAAGGCTGCAGAGGAAGAGTAGGTAATATCTTTGTGGAATAAAATCACTTATTTATATTAGCAGGTAAGATTTTCTCAGAGCTTTATTAAGCAATTAAAAGTAATTGAGGTAAACTTCTTTATGAATTTCCATTGAGTTTCCATTCAGTGAATCAAAACATCTTAAATACATTAGCAAACAGAAAGAAAAAGGTTTACATAATTAAGTGTCAGGATATCAGTTCAGTCCAGACCAGGGGTGGGGAACCTGCAGCCTCAAGGTGGCATGTAGCGCTTTAGATCCTCAAGTGCAGCCCTTTGACTCTCTCCAAACTTCAGTCAAAGAGCCGCACTTGAGGACCAAGAAGGCCACATGTGGTCTCAAGGCTGCAAGTTCTCCACCCTTGGTCCAGACATAGCTTGAGGCATCATGTCATAAAAACAGACTGAAGGCAGGGCATGAACTTGGGCTAGCCTAAACAGCAGCTGGACATCTTCCTGAGCAAAGTAGAGTACAGTTCATGGAAAACAAGGATGCTGATCTACATGCCTCTTCCCTTCACTTCACAGTAAAAAGAGACAGTTCTTAAATAGAAGTACCTAAGCAAATCCAGCTTCTACTAAATGCTGTGGGGGTAGTCAACCCAGGAGGGATGGGAAGTTCTCAAGTCACAAAGAGAACAGTTCCAGTAAGGGAAAGGGACAGTAACCTGAAGAGAGCAATGCAAATGAACAGCAGATTCATAGAGCAACTTAGGTTTGGTTTCTTTGTTTTGTTTTTTTTTAATAGGCATGTCTTCAGAAGGTTGATGCAAAAGCACATGGGGTAAAAAATCCAAAACCATGGCACAGGCCTGCAAGAGTCTGGTATAGCTTGGAGTGAGCTGAGACTGTTTAGGAAAGCTAAGAACAACAAAAAAGGATTTTAAAAATCTATACTGCAGGGAAAAAAAAAGAATGAAGGAGAGAGAGGTCTGCATAACAAAAAGCAGACAGAACTACTTGACTTAATTTGCTTCTGTTTTCTGTACTAAGGAAAACTTTAGAAAAGATAGAATAAAAATGACTCGGTGGAAATGAAAGCTAAGTGGGGAAATTATAATAAAAGAGGCCTTGAATTCTAAATCATCAGAGCCAGACAAAGTGCATTCCAGGGTGCTGGAAGAACTGATAGGTGTGATTGCATAACATCCATCAGCAGTCTTTGGAACATCCTAGAAAAGGACCAATGTGGTATCCGTTTAAAAAGAGAGAGAGAGAAAGTGGAATCCACAACCATAGGCCGGTGAACATGCTTCAGTTCCTGCCAAAATCCTAACGCATCAGTCAGTGACTGGTGACTGAACATCTGGAAAAGGAAGAAGAAGTAACAGAGCTCGGGCAGAGTGCTGTAGTAGACCTAGATTTCAACAAAGCCCTGATAAGATGAAGCGTTCATAAAAATAAATGCCTTACCCTTGAGTTCAAAAAGCCGGCTTCAGATTCAGTGTCTGTGTAGCAGCTGTTTGTTTATTTTTAATGGCCGCGTGTGAGGGGAGGGTACTTAGTGGATTACAAGCTCAGTATTAGTCAGCAGTGTGACCTAGCAACCACAGAAGCCACCGAGTTCTTAGACTACTTTAAATTGTATGATGTCTAGAAGGTGGTGATTGGTCAGTCATTTTTCAGTTTTGTCCGACTCTTCCCGTTTGGGGTTTTCTTGACAACGATACTGGAGTGGCTTGCCATTTCCTTCTCCAGCTCATTTTGCAGATGAGGAAACTGAGGCAAATAGGGTGAAGTGACTTGCCCAGGGGCACACAGCTCGTAAGTGTCTGAGGGCCAGATTTGAACTCAAGAAGAGGAGTCTTCCTGATTCCAATCCCAGCACTCTGCCTACTGCACCACCTAGCTGCCCCAAACAGAAGGAAGGAAGTGATAATCCCACTGTACTCTGTCCTGTTAAACCACCTCAGGAGTGTGCTGTATTCACTTCCAGGGCCATGTTATAGCAAAAATGCTTAGAAGCCAGAGTGTCCAATGGAAAGCAACAGGATCGCAAAAGGCCTCAGGATTGTGCCATGTGAGGATTAGTTAAAGAGGCTGGGGATGTTTATCCTGGAGAAGGGAAGAAAGGGTTTAGTGGCAACACCATAACAGTCTTCAAGTATAGGAAGATCTCTTGTGTGGAAACAAGATTTAGACTTGTTCTGTCTGGTCCCAAAGGACACAACGAGTAGCAGTGGGTAAAAATGCAGAGGCAGATTTTGGTTCAGTGGAACATATCCAATAGCACTGGGCTATTGAACCTAGGAAGCCCTGGGTTCAAATTCTACCTCTAGTCCTGGTTCCCCACCAAGTTGTTAGCTGATATGTACCTCTTTCAGGGGTCTTTACATTTTCATAGCCACTTGTAAAAGGCTAATCAGAGGGCAAATTGGGCCTCCAGCCCTTTCTACATCTATCTCAGCCAAGCTGGAAGTAAGGCAGACACCCAGGGGCCTAGTCCCAATATTGATTGAAGCTTTAATGTGCTCTGATTTGCTGACCTGGACTGGTCCGGCCCTTCCTTCAGCAGCCTGCTGGTCCTCTATCTTGGCCCAGACTTAATGCAGATAACCAATATGGCCTCCCCCATTTCAGCTCATAACTCCCCCACTGGACCCACCTCAGCCTCCCCAGCAGTAGGAGCTACAAGCATGCACCACTGTCCTTGGCCTCTTTTCCTTACCTTGACAGGAATGAGCCTTGAGAATACCTCCTTTGAGGTCTATCATCTGGTGACTAAATGCCATTGGCATCTGTTAATTCTGTCAAAATGCCCTCCTTTGATAACCTCTGGTGGCTTTTCAGGGATGCTCATTTTAACTCATCACTCTTTCAGGATGACACCATTTCCATTAATCACAACTGGATGAATGGCTGCAATGTAGCTACCATGTGGCACTTCCTGCAGGCTGAGCTGGATGCTGTGCAACAGGAGATCTCTGAGTGGAGGGACACTATGGAAGACTGGCATCAGCACTGCCAGGTAGGATGGGGACAGGATCGCTGCATTTGTAGCAAACCGTGGTTGAGAGCCAGAGGTGGGCTAGGGAGAGAACCAGAGCCCTAGAAAGTATCTAGTTGTGGGTTCCCTGCTTCCTGCAAAGAGAGTCCCTTACTTAAGATGGACTGTGTGTAAGGTGATGCTGGGTTTAAAAAAAAAATCTTTATATTGACAGGGGCCTCCACAAAGCTCTTCTCAGAAGCATGAAGGTTACTCTGAGTTCTGACCAGTTATTCTGGGTTTATCACCAGTAGACTCATCACCTGGTGTTGACTCATCACTTGGTCCTAATAAAGAAACACAAAATGACCTTCACCTCTATGCGGCCACCTTCTGTCTCTTCAGTGTTAGTAGCAGAGTAACAGGAAAGGGGCCGGGAGTGCTAAGAATCATGTAGTTTTAAAGATAGTCTCTAAACTTTCAGTTGACTCTGGGTACTTTGGATAAGAGGTTATTCTCCAGTGACCAACAAGTTGGCATACTGCTAGAGGAACTGAATCATAAGCAATATTGATATTCTCACTATAAAATGTAACCAGAAGACAGAAGTTGCAGCTAACTGGAAGGGTGACTCACAGGTCTACTCCTTGGAGACAAAGAAAGGAGTTGGCTTTGTTGTATACCCCAAGGCCTCAAGAAGCATTACTTCATTGACGTTTGACATCTTCTATCACGGTACTCAAGAAATATATTCTGAAAACCATGAAAATAACAACTTAAACATGAAATATCAGTTGCAGAGAATGAAGAGGTATAGAAATTCTGAATCATGGTATACTCTGATACTCAATGACTTCATTGCAAAAGTGAGAAAAGGCAAGGATGGTGGAAAATAGGTTGGAAAGCGTGGTTCAGAAAAAAAGGATTGAAAGAGGCCAAACCCTTGAGGCCAATCAGAACCTTCACATGTTCATATTATGAATATTCTCTTTGAGAAAAGAATTTATAGTCTGTGGACATGGCAAGCACCAAATAACATCACGAAAAATGAAATTGATTATATTTTAACAGACGAGAAAAGACTTGCTATTGATGAGGAAGGTATTCCTCATTCGGTTTTCTGTGTATAATTGAGACCACCAAACTGGTCAGAGCAAAGATCATAATTACTAAAAAGATAGAAGAATAATGAGAAAATGATATGGCATACCACTGAAATAACTTTATTCAGAACTATTCAAACAACCAATTGATAATGAAAGTTGGGAAATGAACAACAGAAATGACATGGATACAAGATGTAATCACTTTATCCAGAAATTTAAGCATCATAAATCAATTGCCATAACAGGGCCAGAAGAACCTTTGACTTACTTGCCAAGCAGAGAGAAATGGTGGCCAAAGGCATTTTAAACACCTTTGTAAAATCTTTATGAAGGATAATAGGTGATTGTGAACAATTTTATCTCATAAAACAGGAAAAAAAATAGGCTAGAAATCTAGATAGAGGACCAGCTAAGCAAAGTCATCCCAAGGGCATTTAAAGACAAAATGGAAGGACAACAAGCAGAAAAAAATGGAAAAGATCTGCAAAGGGTATCTATGAAAACTGTCTTAATCATCAGTGACAGTGAAGCCACCACGCTGGGACTTTAACATCATGATCCTGAATGTGCTTATAGGGAAGGTAGCATTGGTACTAAAGAGAACAGTGGCAAAAAAGCAGTGGACCAAGTATATCTAAAGAAGATTCATACTGGAAGTGACACAATTGTGAGATTGTTGAGGGAATGATACACAAAGTATCTGAAGGGAGGGAAATATCAAAAGTGTGAAAAAATCTAGGACCTTATTAATACCAAAAAGAAAAAAAAAGCAACCAAGAGAACATCAGTAACCATATGCCTACTTTTGCATCTATGCAAAATCTTTATTGGAGTCATCTATACACAAACTGACGGACATCCTTAGTGGGTGTATTGGTATGGAGCAAGCAGGCTTTCACAAGGGATATTCAACAGTGGGTCAAATCTTTTCCATTTTACAGTTAACTAAAAGATGTAAAGAATACAAGATCCTGCTGTGCTTGTTTTGTTGATTGTGAAAAAGCATTTAAGTAGAACAAAAGACCACCTTGAACACCCTCTTCCAGCAAGATGTCTCCCATCCATATGGTAAAAATCATTTAAGCTATTTCAAATGACATAATAACAGAAGTAAACTCTGATCATAAACCTCAGCCACCATAGCCATTCACTACAGTGATAAAAGCAATCCAGCACAGAGTCCAAGTTGAAGAGGGATGCATTGTGGATGGGTGGTCTTCCAGATGCTGCTTGGGGGTGATGTTGTTGTTGGTTGCATCAGGAAAGACCGTATGGATGAAGGCTGTTGCCCAGATAATGACATGCATTTGCATGCACAAATTAGCACTTGTCCATTTACATGTATACTTGGGACAGATAATGAGGATGGTTAACATATTGGGCCCAGAGTTTAACAGGAGGAGAGTGAGCTAGCTTGCCTTTGTGAAACTGTGAAGCATCTTAATGCCTTCAAAATTGCCTTTGTAACAGAAGCCTATCTTTTAAATACCAACATCCTTCAGTTGTTGCTCTATGACAGCAAAGAATGGAATGCAGCACTTTCAGAAGAACTGAAATTAAATTTCACACAGAGGACATTGTTGGTGTGAGTACATTGTACCATGTAACTAATTAGGAACTTCAAAGGAAAACAGGAGTAAATAATGACATTAAGGAAATGTGTCATAGGAAGATGGGTTAGTCACATGGCCAAAAATGAGAGATGACAAGAGGACAGCCAGAGTTCCCCACTGGCATCCTAATACTATCTGGAGAAATCAAGGAAGGCCTTCAGCACATTGAGTGAATTGTGGTGAACTTAAAGGGAGGTCATGCTCAAGAGTCTCACAAGTTGGGGCAAGAACAGATGAGTTGTCATCGGGATCATTGAAGGAAACAGCCAAAAAATGAGATCACAGATCTCTGAGTATTTTGAGTTTCCCTCTAGGACTGGCATAGTCCTACTGCTTTACATGTGATAGGTGCTTAATGTTTGTTAGGTTAGATTGAATTGCTTATTACTGGATCATAAGATGGGCCTGGCTTGGAAACAGTACGTTCCTAAAAGCATCTGAAAGTTGGCCCCAGCCCAGCCATCTAGCAGTAATGCCTAGAAGTTGTCAGGGAAGGAGTCTTAAAAACTCTGCCTTGCATCTAACCTTGAGAAGGCTAAAGTGACAAATGGGAACAGGGGCCTTGTGCCTGATAAATTGTGCTAACAAACCAGCCTCAAGATCAGGGATCTGTGCTTTATAATTCATTCTGGGTTTTTATCTTTTTTTCTTTTGGCTTTGTCATTTTCATTTCAGTTTCTTAGTGAAAACCCCAACCTGGTCTGTGGTACATTGAGAAAAAAGGATTTATTTGTGTTCAGGCCAGGATAACTAGGGGAAATAGGAGCCTCTGAAGTCCAGGCAGATGGTGATAGTCTCTGACCTCATTACCTGGTTGAAGTGTGTTGAAGCAAAGACACATAGGCAAAGACTAAGGTGGGGAAGAGTTGGGGCAGCTGTGATGACTAAGATGGCCATGGTTTTAAAGAGCTCTGGACTAGATGTCAGGGAAACTGTCACCAAGTAGTTCTTCGACCCTAGAAAATTAATTTACTCTCTGGGCCTCAATTTGTTGTCACATGAGATGGTTACACTGGATCAGAGGTTCTTAACCTTTTTTGTTTAAGACCACAGACCCCCTTGGCAGCCTGGTTAAAGCCTATGGAGCCCTTTTGAGAATAATGTTTTTGAATACACAGGAATACAAATGATACCATTATATTGCAATAAAGTTTTAATTTTTTTCCCATCCAAGTTTGTGGAACTTCTGAAATCTGGGTCCATTAACCCCAGGTTAAGCATTCCTACGCTCGATGAATTCTAAGGTCCCTTCCTGCTTGAATTTTTGTCCTTTACATCCACATCCTGACACTTGAGGCCCTCCACAACATGATGCCAGATTATCTTGCATTCAAACCCTCCACTCTAGCCAGACTAAGGGTACTCATTGCCCTACAGATATACCTGGCCCCCATTTTACTCATGCTATTTAAGTCTGTAATGTTCTCCTCTCTGCCTCTCCAAGTCTTAACCATTCTTCTAGGCAAACTCCACCTCCTCCGTCAAGCCTTCCCTAACCAATAGAACATAATGATCCCTCTCTCCCTCAATCCCTCCTCTGAACTCTTAAGATTACTTATTATTTTTGTTCCTTGTTTGGCATTTACTCAACATTACATTAGGATGTTACATGGTTTTTGTTGTTGCATTGTTCAGCTTTTTACATTTTTATGTCAATTTTCTCCAACTAAACTGTGAGCTGCTTGAGACCAAGGACCCTGTCTGAAACTGCTTCTGTCCCAGAGGTTCCCAACTAAAGGTTGGGTATATGCTCAAAGGGTGCTCAGGAAATCCTTATTGAATGAAGTAAGTACTTGGGAAAGTGTCATTTAAAGCATAATCTCATAATACTTCTTTTTCTTTCTGATCTTCAGGTGATCATGAAATCATGCACTGGAATTGACTACAAAGAGTTTTATAACTTCCTCAAAGTCATAGCAAAAAAGAGAATTTCTCTCCTCGAAAAGGTTCCTGAGACCAAACCCTTGGGAAATCTTTGCAGTGACAGCCCTGGACTGGGCCCCCACCATGCAGCTTTTGATTTAAGTCGGATTGCTGATGTGTTAGCATCCTTGATCACAAACCCAGATTTCCAGAAACTGGAGACCAGTGAACTTTCACCACCCCCAGAGGACCTGTTCAACAACCTGAAAGAAAAAATAAATGCTTCTCTCTAGTTATGCTTTATAATTAAGCAGCAAGAAGGTGTCCGTCAGTATAGTCCACCTTGCTCCAAAGGTGATCTTGAACTTGGGACTCACTGGGAATTCAAATCTAGCTCTGCCATTTACTACCTATGTGACCTTGGGGAGGTCACCTAACTTCCTCCTCTGTGAAATGAAGTGGTGGGACTAGATGAGCCCAGGGTCCCTCCTAGCTCTCTGGGTCTGTGATACTAGGAACATAATTTAAATAAAAAGTAATTTCCTGTTCCCACAACTTCCCTGAGATCCAGTCTCACAGGACTGATATGATAGAAAGAGAAGAAGCTAACTTCTGAAGCTCTTTCCAGCCGATGTTTATTGACCTCTCTTCTTGGTGTGACCCTGCAGCATTTCTCTACCCCAGGTGCCCAGGAAGCCCTGCCTCTTGCATGAGCTCCCCCAAAGCTATCACGTGCCAGCACCACAGACGACGCTGGTGACTCCCCCTGAAGCAAAGCAATCAAGCAGCAGCAGCTTCTCCCCTGCCGGTCGGCTCACCCTCTGACCCCCTCTCTTCTGGAATCACCCTGCAGGCTCCACCAGCTTTGCTTCTCACTTGGCGATCTCCCTGTGTTATCAGACAAGCAGCTGCACTTCACTCCAGGAAAAACTGCCCCTTGACTCAGAGACCTTTGTTGTTGTGGAGCAACGATGATGAGAGTGGACCACGTGTGGGAAACGAGATCTGAGTAAAAGTCCCAGTTCTGTAAAATAGAGCTGATTGTACTGGCACTAAATACCCAGATGGGTATTTGTGAGGAAAGTGCTTTATAATACTACAGGCCCCACAGGAATGAGAGCTGCTCTTATAGTTAGGGCTGCTGAGAATGCTACAGCTTGGAAATGGGGTGGGGAATCATTCTTAAGGTTATTCCCAAAGCTTGGTGTGTACCCTCCATACTCCATAATCTGGTACTTTATGGCAGCTCCCACATAGTTGCTGCCCAGACCTTCTTCTGTCACCTCTATTCACCCTTGTATTATAGCTGGGTCCTCCTGAGGTACAGCATCATGTACAGCACAGTGAAAGGCACGGGAGTTCTGCTTTTCAGGTCCTGCTTTGCACCTTTCCCTCGCTTGGCTCCTGGGAAAAAGCAGAAGGCTGGAGGGGCTGGGGCACACAGGACACATGAGGACAGTTATTCTCGCCCAGATAACTCAGTCCTGGCCGTGGGCACAGAGAATCCAGTCCTCTAGGGCTGTGTGTCTCCACAGTGTAAGGTCGTTGAAGGAAAACACTGTGGCCCAAACATTTTGATGTTCTCCACGTCATCTCACATAGCAAATGTTCAATTTCTATTTCTAAAAAATTCAAAAAATATTTAAAGTGCAACATTATATCCCCCTTAACTTCTTCCCCAAGGCAAGGACCAGGGAAGCCTAGCCCAGTGGAAGACCCTAGAGCCTGCCTATCTGCCTGAGATGGCCAGACAGGGGAGTGCTCCGTTTCCCGAGGAGCAGCACCCTGAGGGGGAATGGGCATTTGTATCCAGAACTCCCTCTCTGGGATGATAAGAACGAACCAAAGTGTGCTGCTTGTAGTCACAGTGATGCTCTACACATTGGTCTACCCTCCCCCTGTGTGGATACGTCTACCGGCTTCTCCTTCCTTGGCCTTCGACCCTATCCAGACCCAGGCCCAGGCAGGGTTGAGCTACCAGAGAGCCTTCTGATTATGGACTCCAGCCAAGCGGTGCAGCCGCATGTCCTCCTTCTGGATGTGCTCGTAACAGGACTGGGTCAGAGAGAGAAAAAACAGTGAGTAGTCAGGCATCAAGAGGAAATACCAAACCTCAACACCCAAGGGGGTTGACCATCCAGTGCCACAAAGCGCCAGAGCTAGAATGGGTATTAGCATCTAGCAAAGCCTAATTTGTAGATGAGGAACCTAAGGGCCCAATTTTTCCATTATACCAGACTGCTTCCAAGCATGGTGGAGAAAGCACTGGACTTGGGAGTCCAGATGCCTGTTTGAGTATGTGATCCGCCTCTGGGCATAAGGACAGGGATAGGAACTAAATGGGTGATTTCATTGGTGTAGGGCACTCTTTGATCAAGCAACTCCTTCTACCAATACAGCCTGGCACCTTTCCTGCCAACTTACAGGCTTAGACAGTTACCAGGACCACGGAGAGTGTGTGCCTGTGGGCACACAGCCAGCATGTGTCAGGTGAGATTAGAACCTGGGTCTTCCTGACTTCGAAGTTGGCTCTGTATCCCCCTCCCCTCTCCTACCACTATGTCCTCTATTCTGACATGTACCTAGAGGGGCTCAATTACTAACATTCATTAGTTGCCAGATTGCAAGAAGCCTCCTTTCCAAAAATTATGAATTGGGAGACTACCCCCAAACCAGAAGACCAAGGATTCCCTAACGTGACCTTGCAAACACATGCCACAACTCAGAGAAAGGAGAGAGTAGAAACTCATTTAAATGGACATTTATTGAACAACCAGTATTTGCAAAGTTTGAGTCACTGTGTGGATAGTTCAATTTACCCCACTGCCATGGCTAGAGACCCTTCTTAGAGCTGCCTGACAGCCGACCCAGAGAGCAGAAAAGACTGCTATACATGTGGAAGGCAACACCATGTAGTGAAATTTCTACAAACTTGCATTATGACCTCAACATATTTCTTTCTACCCTGTTAAAAAGGAGAGGGAGGCCAAAGGTAGAGGGAAGTGGGGAAGCTACATTATTTCTAAGGTCCCTTCCAGTCCTGACCTGATTCTGTTAACAAATTAGATCCATTCCCAGAAAGAAACCAATGCCCCTTCTTCCCTGGCTACCTCACCTCGAGGGCTGTCAGCAGGAAATCATACAGTCCTCCTCTGTGGATGGGGTCCATCATGTCCCTGATCAGATGGATTTCTGCTCCCAGGTGCTGGATCCTAGGAAACATTTTGGAATGGCACAGGGGAATGGTTTATGACATCACTACTGGCATCCTGTAGTCCGTCCTGCCCTCAGAAGATCTCCCCTGACCCAAGCCAGCTGAATAGGAGAAAAGGCACCCACTCATGAACCCCTGTGGGTCTAATCTGTGCCAACCTGCTGTTCCTTAGCTAAAAGCTGGCTTACCGGGCCCGGGACACAACATAGATGAGTAAGGGCAGCAGGTCATCCATGGGAAGCTTATGTTCCCTCTCCAGAACCCGGGAAACCGTGTTCTCAATCTCAACATAGGTCTTTTCAAGCATCTCCAGCTTCTCCCGGGGATCCACAGTAGTGCTGTTGTAGAGAGGTAGTAGGAATAGATCTCATTTAGACAGGGATCTTCACAACACCCTTGTGAAGTAGGTAGTGCAAGTATCACCAGCCTCCATTTATCAATGAGGAAACAGGCTCAGAGAGGTCAGTTCACTTGGGATCACACAACTAGTGTCAGAGTCAGGATTTGAAACTAGGTCTCCTGACTTCATTTTGTCCCCTAGGGAAGGGCAGAACAGCCTAAGGTCGTCTCATCAGTAAGTCTTCCTTCATGGAGAACTGTGCCTTAAGCCCGACCAGACTGGGGATGGAGAGAGAAGTGAAAGGGAAAGAGAAGCTTCGATCTGGAATGAATTTCTCCTTCATCCCCCAGTCTGATGGGAGATGGTCTCTGCCCTCACGGATCCCCTCCAGTCTGAAAGAAGACCCACCCCTTAAAAAGCCCCTAGTCTAATGGGAAATACTCAATCCTTGCACTGAAGTGTCAAGGGTATAAATCAGGAATCAATCACAAGTGGACCAGTATGGAAACATACATTAAAAAAACATATAAGCCAAGTTCAGAATAGCATTAGCTGAATAGAGCTACGTGCATTAAAACTTAAAGGAGGCAGGAGTGAATGGAACCCACCAGAGTAAATCCAGGACTTTCTGGTGGAAACAGACTGAGTTGGATTTGGAAAGAGAGAAGGGGCAGGGAATGGCCCATGTACCTAACAGTATGGACTACTAAAATGCAGAGTGAAGCAGGGTATATTGCTAAAGGAATGTAGTTTGGTAGAGAAGTAGAACCACTTGACATAGAGGAAACTATGCCTAAGGGCATTGAAGGCTGGCTGAGGAGTTTGTCTGCCGTATGGCGGGGGGGGGGGGGGGGGGGGGGGGGGGGGGGGGGCGGGGGGGGGGGGGGGGGGGGGGGGGGGGGGAACTTTGATGGACCCATCTCTTGTAGGATTGCCGAATCACATGAATGAGTAAATTGGGAGCCACTGAGGCCAGATGTTGATGTCTTGTACATCCACTTAAAAAGCAGTTCAGAGCCACTTGATAAAAGTTTAAAAAAAAAATTGAAGACCAGAGCAAAATCTTGGAGGGAGCATCTGCATGAATAATGGCAAGATGAAGGCACTGAGGTCTCTAGTCGATATGCACTGGCATGCATAGGGTTAGGGCAGCAGGCTACTACCTGCCTGGAATAGGATAAGGGCATGGTCTCCAACTCTGGGTGGGAATGAAAGGGAGATATCCTGCCCCCCTCCAGTGAGAGGGGAAGATAGCCCACCCAGCTCCTATATGGGGTGTTTGACCCTGAAAGGGTGACTCACATGATCTTCTGCAAGCACTCAGTGGCAGAGAGGAAGCACTTGTCTCTAACCAGGGAGTATCTCTGCAAGGGGACAGCAGAGCCAAAATCACACTGGGACCCCCTACCCAATCTTCTCCCCCCTACGTCAGCCTCTCCACAAGGCCAGCTAGAAACCAAATCCCTCCATCCTGATGATCCTCAGCCCTTCAACATTCTCCTTCAATCCCTGCCCCTCACTTAGTCCTACTTGCCCCCTTGATCCCAAGCCTATAATTGGGCCATTGACTCATTATCAATCATATGCCCCAGAAGCAGTCAGATCAGACTTCACCTAAAGGCCCACATTCTCTCATCATAACTTATCCTAGCATGTGACAGCTGAAAAGGATTTTGGAGATCACCTAATCCAGGGGTGGGGAACCTGGGTCCTTGAGACCACATGCAGCCCTCTAGGTCCTCAAGTTCAGCCCTTTGACTGAATCCAAACTTCACAGAACAAATCCATGTTATTACATGCATTAAATACATCCCCTTAATAAAAGGATTTGTTCAGTAAAACTTGGACTCGGTCAAAAGGCCACTTCCAAGGATCTAGAAGGCCACGTGTGGCCTCTAGGCAGCAGCTTCCCCACAATCCGACACGTTCATTTTAAAGCAGAGGAAACTGAGTCAAAGTGGTGACTTGCCCAAGGATCCATAGCAAATAAGTGGATGAGTCAGGACTGTAGTCCACATCTCCTGTCTCGGAGCCCAGTGCTCATTCTATTACATTTTGCTGCTTCTCCAATCTGAACAACACAAGTCTGTTTTTCCTATCTACCGTGTTTTTATTGTGCCTGAATGGTCCATCTACTCCTCCCCTCCCCCCCACCAATTTCTTGCTGCCTCCCTCTCTATTCAATCTTAAACCTGACTCTCTTCCTAACCTTTACACCATACCTGCTCCCTCTAGGAAGCTTTCCTTGATGATGCCAGTGACTTCAGTAGAACCTTCTCACCCCTCACACTGTCTCTTACCGCCCCCCACTCTACCCCACACCACACCAATCAGGTATTCTGCCAGGAGCTAGCTGGGTGGGCTGGGTGCCTGGGAAGGTAGTCCTCTCACCTGGTTGGTTGTCAATGTGAGGTCCTTGAGAGGCCAGAGGTGCCTGGAACAAGAGGAACGAGTTTTTAGGACTGAGCAAGAGGAAATGGGCTCAGAATTTCCTGATCCTAAGGGCTGGTTATATCATCAAGCATTTTGCCAAAGTAAGCCATAGAATATTCTTGAGCATGTACCAGAGCTGAGAAGGGCCTTAGAGATCATCTCCTTCACCACCATCCCCTCATTGCACTGTGTGATCCCCTCCCAATATACCTACCTTATTTATATTTAATTGTTGACCACAAATTACTTCTGATAGAATACAAATAGTAATATGTAGGCTTCAACCTCATTGGACAGATAGCAAAACTGAGACCCAGAGAGAAGTCTGAGATCACAGGATTTAGGGTTGGAAAGGACCTCAGAGGTATCTTGTATAAGCCCCTCGTTCTAAGTAAGGCACAAAGACCAACCCTGCCCAAAGTTACACAAATAGTAAGGAACAGAGGATTAAAAACCCAGATTCCCCGGCTCTCATCACTCCCCACTAAAGCACATTGGATACAACCTTGAACCAGGAGTCAGGATAGACCTGAGTTCAAATCTAGCCTGAAGATGCTTACTAGCTGTGGATAACCTCTGTCTGCCTCAGTCTCCTCATCCATAAAATGAGGATAATAATAGAACCTAGGTTGTTGTGAGGATTAAATGAGATAACGTGTAAAGTAATTTGCAAACCCTGAAATGTTGTGTAAACCCTAGTTATTGTTATTATTGTGAAGTGGACAGTGAATTAGTAGAAAAGCTGAACCCAAATCTCCTGACTCCCAGCCTGGAGCTTACCTAATTATAATACCTTGTATCTTCAGCTTGTGGCATTTAAAGACTGGTTAGATGTTTATCTTATCTGTGATGATTTCAATGGGGAACTCCTCCAGAGAGATAGGGACCCAATGAATGACCTCCTATGGTCCCTGTCTCTCCCAGATTATGTATTCTCAATGATTTTGACCAGCTGCAGCCCTGCATCTTTGGTTTAAGCCTATCAGTCTGTACCAAACTGTTGAGGAAGCATATTTTAAATGAAACAAAACAAAAAGATTCCTTTTTAGTTTCTCAAGAAATATTTCTCCAGCCTTTCCAGATTTTTCCCTTTAGGCAAATGGGAGGCAGAAAGGCTGAGACCTTCCTTTGAAATTCAGTAAGAATGATAACTGAACACAACTCTGGTCTAGATAATATCACTGAGCTGTCCCCCCTCTCCTTTGAAGTAATTGGCCTCTTGCCCCACCTAAGGACTGTGTCTTCTCTTTGGGAATTTGAGGTTAAGATTTTGATTGAAGGAAGGAATTCCTTAGGAGGAATAGTCCAAGAAGGAACTGGGCAGTTTTAGGATGTTAACCCCCAAACTACACTTTAACATATTATGATCTTTTCTTTGTTCAAGATTCCTATAAATGTTACCTAAAATCTTCCTGGCAGAGAATCATGTCGGAGAACATGGAGAACTGTCCCAGTCTGAATGTGTCTCCAAGCTAGAAATAGTTTGAATATAAATTAATGTTGCATTCAATAAAATTGCTTCTGGCGGACTAAATTGCAGACTACATTATTAACATTTTTTTTCTTTGACACTGTCCCTCTCTTGCTCTATGACAAAACCCTGTCCTAGGCACAAGGGGAACAGGTAAAAGTGCATTCACAGTCCATGCCCATGGGGGATAATGTGACGATTCCAATTACTATAGTAATAGAAGCAGAGTGTCCATAAGGAAGCCGGTGATAGAAAGGTCCCCATACGCTAGGGTGTAAGACAGCTGGATTGTACAGGAGAGGAAAATTGCAGAGTCAGGTCAGTGAGAGCTCCCATAAACATCGCCAACATGTAAGTGGCACCCTTATATAGTAGAAGAGAGCTCTGGGTTGGAAGTCAGAGTGCCTGGGTTCAAATCCTTGCTCTTCCCCTTTATAGGTAACCTAACCTCTCTAGACTCAATTTCCTCATCTGTAAAATGATGGGTTTGGACTGGATGCCCTCTTAAGAGCCTGCCAGTTCTTAAATCTATGATAATAAATATTATCTGGTTCTTTGGAGCACCTTTTTCTGAATACAAGTTAAATTCCTGCCCTGTGAAAAGACTGATGAAGACCCTGCTGGGGATGGGTAAGACTCTCAAACAGTCACTGAAAGCAATGGCCAGGGTGTATCATATGGGATGGCTTTTCTGTACACCAGTAGCGATTACCCTGTGTAACCTCCATGGCATCAAGAAATGGAGGTAGTGATCCAACCATTTTGGAGAGCCATTTGGAACTATGCCTAAAAGGCTGTAAAAATGTGCTTACCCTTCGACCCAGCAACAGCACTTCTAGGGCTGTACCCCAGAGAGATAATAAAAATGGAAAAAGGACCCATGTACAAAAATATTCATAGCAGCTCTTTCTGTGATGGCAAAGAATTGGAAATTGAGGGGATGCCCATCAATTGGGGAATGGCTGAACAAGTTGTAGTACATGAATGTAATGGAAAACTATTGTGCTATAAGAAATGATGAGCAGGCAGACTTCAGAAAAACCTGGAAAGACTTGTATGGACTGATGCTGAGTGAAGTGAGCAGAACTAGGAGAACGTTGTACACAGTAACAGCCACCTTGTGTGATGACTAACTTTGATAGACTTAGCCCTTTTCAGCAATGCAAGATCTAAGACATCTCCAAAAGTCTCATGATGGGAAATGCTATCCCCATCCAAAGAAAGAACTGTGGAGTTTGAATGCAGATCGAAGCATACTATTTGCTCTTTTTTTCCTTCTGTTTTGTTTCCTGTTTCTTGTGGTTCCTCCTATTGGTTCTAACTCTTCTTTACAACATCACTAATGTGAAAATATGTTTAATAGTAATGTATATATAGAGCCTATATCAGATTGCATGCTGTCTTGGGGAGGGAGTCGGGAGGGGAGGGGGAGAAAAATTTAAAACTCAAAAGTGTATGGAAGTGATTGTTGAAAACTAAAAATAAATTAATTAATTAAAAAAAATTTTTTAATGGAGGTAGATGGTTAATCCATACTCCAAGCAACTCCTTTCTCTGAAGAATCAATAAAAATATGTAAAGGGCATTGAGGAGAAAGAGTGGTTGTGCCCTAGAGGTAGGGAGAGAGAATGGATGTCAAACCCAAGATCCTTTGGGATCTGGGATGGAAAAGAGCCAGAACCTAGGGGACCGCACTCACTTCTGCACATCCAGGCATTCCAGCAGCTTGGTGTCTGGGAACAAGCTCAGGTCGGCTATGCCCTGGCTGTAGAGGTTGTCTTCTTTCTCATGGTACAACATGTACAGCATGAAGAGCTCTGGATAGAAGCAGGACAGGATGATTGGCAGGACCAGCCTGTAGGCCTCAGGGTGACTGGGAGGGAGAAAGGAAGAATTACTGGGTGTGTGTCTGCACAGCCTTCCTGCCTGTAAGACCAGGACCACGACTCTTCATGACCCCATTTGGGGTTTTCTTGGCAGAGATACTGGAGTGGTTTGCCATTTCCTTCTCCAGCTTATTTTACGCATGAAGAAATTGAGGCCAACGGGGTTAGGTGACTTGCCCAGGGTCACACAACCAGTGTCTGAGGGGAGATTTGAAGTCGGGAAGATGAGTCTTCCTGACTCCAGATCCAGCACTCTATCCACTGTGCCATCTAGCTGCCCCAAAAAGGCCAAGGCCACAGGTATCCCCTCAATAAAACAACTATTGGGAGGGAGCTCAGCCTTTCTCACTTCAACCACCTCCAAAATAAATATCACATTTTAAACTTTCCAAAACAGTTTGACGAGCATTGTCTTATATGTTATTCCCAATACCAGAGTGAGCAAGAAAAGGGATCCTTATTCCCTCCTTTTACCAGAAAAGGAGCCTTAAGCCCTGAGAGGAGAGGGTCAATTGGTTTCTGAAGCCCCAGTCAGCTCTAAATTTATGATTCTCAGATCACAGAGTGAGTCAGTCACTAATGGAACGGGAGGCTTCATTAAGACCTCACAGCCCAAGAACAGCTCAAGGCTCTTCTCTCTCTACCATGTTCTATGTCCCTCTCCAAATGGCTCAGGGTGGGGAGGAAGGGGCAAGAGGTTTCTGAACCATGGGGCACAATGGAAAATGCACTGTCTCTGGAGTCCGAAGGCCTGGGTTCAAATCTCACCTCGGAATTTTACTACCTATGGGATCTAGAGCACATCACTTAACCTCTGTGGGCCTTATTTTCATCATCTATAAAATGAGGGGTTACACTGACCTTTCCAGCTCGAGATGTACGACTCTGTGATCACCTATCTGAAAATGTTTCAGTCTGTGATGTGCTTTACTTTCCCTGAAGGAAAGGATGAAAGGGAAGGGGCCTGCCCCCCTTGGGAGGGAGCCGGACTTCCACATGAGGACAGTAGCTAAGCCTTGAACTTAGCAAGAAAGCTCTAAGTTTTGTCCCGTTGATCAGTAGTTTAGGCCAGCCTTCTAGGTATGTAGCAATGGCAATATCAATCGACAAGCATTTATTAAGCACCTACTACATTCCAGGCCCTGTTCCAGACACTGCGGTGACAAGGACAAAGAGTCGAACAATCCCTGCTCACAACAGATAGTGACTTTCCCGGGTTTTTCCCCACCCTGCTGCTGATGTCCTCATCTTCCCTGCCCTACTGCATTTAGGATCTGGTTTGCACGCGTCATATACTTTGTTCCAAAACTATTTGTTTATTACTGTTACTAGTATTAATCAGAGACTTTAGATAAGTTTTTAAGGTTAGTATTTTAAGTATTTAAGGATTTCAAGGATTTAAGTATTTTAAGGTTAGTATTTGTCATATTTTGTTCTAAAGCTAGGTGGCTCAGTGGATAGAGCACCAGGAAGACGTGAGTCCAAATGTGGCCTCAGACCCTACTACCTGTATCACTTTGGGCAAGTCATTCAATCTGTCTGCCTCAGTTTTCTCAACTGTAAAATGGGGATGATAATAGCACCTATCTCCCAGGGTTGTTGTGAGGATCAAATAAGATAATAATTATAAAGCATTTACCATAGTGCTTGGCACAAAGCAGGCAGGCACTATACAAATGTTAGCAATTATTATTACAAATCACTGGGGCCTGAGTTAGGAACACCTGAATTCAAATCCAACCTCAGATCCTTATTAGTTGTATCATTTTAAGTAAGCCACTTAATTAATGTCTGTCTCATTTTCCTCAACTGTAAAATGGGTTGACAATAGCACCTACCACCCGTGGTTGTGGTGAGGATAAAATAAGATGATATTTGTAAAGCACTTAGCACAGTGCCTGGCACATAGTAAACCCTATATCAATGCTTGCTATTATTTTATTACTTATTTACAATTTTATCATTACTAATACTAAGAAGACTTTTAGATAGCATTTTAAAGTTTGCAAAATATTTTATAAACATTATCTTATTTGATCTTTGTGTTTATATCTTGACCCCCTACTATATCTTACCTAAACTCTCTCACAGAGACAGGACTATGCACAAAATAGGCACTGAATGTATGCTTGTTGAGGCAAAAAAAAAGTGTAAGTTGGAATCAAAAGACTTGGTTTAAATCACAAATCATTCACGCTTACTGGGCCTCAGTTTCCCCACCTGTAATACAAAGGGGTTGGGCTAGATTTCTAATTCTTGATCCTAGGAATTTAATTGGATTGAGTTCAATTGAATTGAATCAAATGCCATATATAACTCCATCCAAGATTGTGAGGACCACAAAGGTAAGGATTCCTAAATTTCATATGTGCTCTGCATGAAGTAGGCACTTACTTGTGGTTTAACTGAATTTTAAAATTTCCTGCTAGACCAGTGGGCTCTCAAAGTGAGGTCTGAGGATCCCTGAGACCCTTTCAGGGGGGTCTGAGATGTCACAACTATTTTCATAATAGTTTTCATAAATATTATCTATTAAAATCCTCTTTTTTCTAGCTACATATCTGTGTGAGGCTAGATTTTCTTCATATACTTCAACCAAGACAACGTATCACAACAGGTTCGATATAGAAGTAAATATAATCATCTGGCTGTCTTCTATTAAGTCAGACATTAAAGAACTCTTTTAAAATGTGTAAAAAATATACAAAACAATGCCACTCTTCTCATTAAATATTTTGTCTTAGAAAATATATTTTTTTAAAAAAAGAAAATATATTTTTTATAAAGATCTGTTAACATATAATGGAACTATTATTATTTTAATGAATTAATATGTATTTTAAACTTTTATCAGTTTTAATTTCTAAGGTGATAAATATTGATAGATATAACCCACAGAAACAAAAGTTCTTTGGGAGAAGCTTCAATAATTTTTAAGAGTCTAATGCGGTCCTGACATCAAAAAGTTTAACAACCTCTGTACTAGACTTATCTAACTTTGTATCTCAGTCCTCTGCACACAGTGAGTGCTTAATTATTGTTTGTTAGGTATTGAATGACCCAGGCCACAGAGCACCAAAGCTACTACCATGGATCTGTCATCTTTTTCATTTTAAACATTCCTTTGTCATTGCCAATGCCTCATTTCTCTTTAGGCTCATCTGATTTCCTCATTTCACCCTTTACAAGTCACCCCTCTTCCCCAGGTCTCAGTTCTCCATTTGTAAAGTATAAAGTCTCCATTTATAAAGGTGAGAATTCAGGAATGGTTCAAAAATACAGTAAGAATGACATGGACAAACTTGGAGCAAAGGCAAGAATACTCATATTAAATGTGACCAGCCCTCAGTGAAGCCTAAATTCTTGAAATCCACAGACTTCACTTTAAGGAATGGTACCCAACCTTCTCTACCCCACCAAGATGGAGTGTTGCACTCTCATTCTCCCTGTAACCCTATCCCAGAGACCTCTCCTCTGGAGGTAAGTTCCAGAAGGTGAGATTAGGATCATAGGATTTAGAGCTGGAGGAAATTTAGAGACCAACCAGTCCAAGGGTCGAGAAAATACAGTCCTAGGCCACCCAGGTCTAGGTCCACAAAATACAACCCAGCCACCATGCCTGGACGGAATTTACAGTGGGAAAAAAAAAACGAGGCAGTCAGCAGTAGTTTGCCAGCCTCAAAACTAGTCCAACCCCTTTGTCTTATAGTAGGGGAAACTAAAGGGTCCCATGGTTAGAAGAACTGATATTCGGACACAAGTCTTGGAACACTCAACCCTTCCTCTTCTCCTATGCTTCTCTGGGAGGGAAAACCAGGGGCCTGAGTCAGCTGCATACAGGAAACCTAAATCACTGAGAAGCAGAAAGTGGAGTGGGTTGGATTGGGTCTCCTGGAAGTCGAACCCAGGACAGCAAACTCAGAAACACCAAGATGGAGTGGGGGACCTCGGTTACCTGTTACTGGTGTCTTCACTCTCCTCCTGAATCTGGCCCTGTCGCTCCAAGGCTACTCGCAACAGTCCCCTACAAACAGATAAGAAAAGAAGCCGTTTGTCCACTCTCTCCTCCTAGAATCTCAAGAGCTGTAAAATCTTGAGTTGGAAGGTATCTAGAAGTCATCTGAGAAGCTGCCGCCAACTTACTGATAGAAAGCCCAGACCTCCTGGGCATGATGTTTGACCTCCTCCTGAGCCAGGACCAGCAGGTGTTTGTTGGCCCCGATGCCAGAGTAGGTGGCCTGGAAGGCCAGCGTCAGCAGCTTCATCAGCTTCCCCAGAGGGTGCACAGAAGATTTCAGGGCCTACACAGACAAGGGATGGTTCTGCACTCCCTCAGACAATCACAAAATCTTAACGCTGCCCTTTATCACTCATGGCCTGTCCCCACTTCATATAGGTCATCAGACCTTTAGGGCATTCCTAGGTGCCCTAGGAATAAGTCTGGGCACTGTTGAGTATCCCCATTTGTTCTTTATAAAGAAAGCAGGAGCACAAGGAAACAGATACCGATCTCCTATGCCAGGGGTTCTTAACCTTTTTTGTGTCATGGACCGTCTATGGCAGTCTGGTGAAGTCTGAAACATAACTTTTTTTTTTTTTTTTTTTGGTGAGGCAGTTGGGGTTAAGTGACTTGCCCAGAGTCACACAGCTAGTGATTGTTATGTGTCTGAAGCCAGATTTGAACTCAGGTCCTCTGACTCCAGGGCCGGTGCTCTATACACTACACCACCTAGCTGCTCCAGAATAATGCTTTTAAATAACTTAAGGAAAAACAAATTTCAATTAGACATTAGTGAAAATACAGATAATTTTCCCCCATCAAAGGAACCCCCAGAAATCTTTCCATGTGGACCTCAGGTTAAGAACCCCAGTTCTATACAATTCAAGAGCTGGAAGGATCCAGCAACATAGACTATGAAGACGGAAAGACCCCTTAAGACATTGAATATAGAGCGTTTGGGCTGGAAGGGACTTTGGAACCCTACAATGTCAGAATTGGGAAGGGACCTAAGATCACAGAACATGGAATGTCAGGGCTAGAAGGGACCCTAGAACACAGGTACTTTGAACATCAAAGTTAGACAGGGTCTTGTAAAACAGAACATAGAATGTGAAAGATAGGTAGGACCTTAAAACACAGGATGTCAGAATTAAAGAACGTAGAACTTAGAACATAGAACATGGAACACAAAAAGTCAGAATTCAGAAGGAACTTAAAAATGTAGAAAGGGTGTCCTGACTCTTATTCAATGTTCTAGACTGAGGAGAGGATGGGAGAGTGGAGACAAGGTAGCAGACCTGAGTTGAGTCTCAGCTTTGCTATAAAATCACTGTGTGACATTTAGGTGACAGTGCCCAGAATAGTCTTCTTTCATGAGAATGGACTCTGAGTCTGGGTATTCCTCTAACATTTGGATAATCTATACTTTTTTTCCCTTAGAGAACTGCCCAGGGCACTATGAGGTGAAGTAATTTGCCCAAGGTCACACAAGCATTATGTGTGACCTTTGAGACCAACCACTGTGCTGCTACATCTGCCTTGTAAACAAAACCTAGGGCTCTTATGGTATGGGGTGTAAGAAAACAGAAGGGCGAAGGGAAAGGGGGAAAACAGACCACCCAGTTACAGGGCAGAGAGCCGGGGATTAGATGTGGCAGTGTATCTCTAAGCTCAGAGAGTCAAGCAGGCTCAGGATCCAGGTGCTAAGAGCCCCAGGGCACCCTCCTCTAGGGAAGGGTACAATTCTCAAGACTAGGTATCAAACTAGATCCAGGATCACAGTTTTACCGTTGCCTGCTCCCAGGGTTATTGGTGGGACAGTCTCTCCCTCAACCCCCTCCCAACACCGCCACCACCAAACCAAGGGAATGAACAGACCCAGGATGAAACTCTGAAGGCCAGGCTGCCCCGGGTCCCTTCCCTGCCTATGCTGTCCTCGTAGTCACCAGCTCCCAATCAATCCACAGAGTGGTGTGTCCATGGCTCAACCACTCTGCAAGAAATCTCTGGGGCTAGCAAACCCCATGTCTTCTATCTTCTATCCCCTTCCTCTTCTTACTAATGAGGTGACCCTAGATGTCCTCATGGAAGAGTAAGAAGAATGGGGAAAGGGAAGGCCACCACCTGTCCTTACTCTCTGCCTCCCAACTCTAAGGTATTCACTTTCTCTGCTGGAGCAAGAATAGCAAGGGAAGGATGAATACATGATTGAATGAAAATTTTCGGTCATTTATACAAGGCCAAGAGCAGGAAATGCAGGAGGGATAGGTGAATGAATGGATGGATGGATGGATAACCATTCATTCATTCATTCATTCATACTGGCCTGAGAGCAGGAAAGGCAAGTTGGGAGTTCAAAAATCAAGGAAGATTTAAAAATAATAATAAAAAAAGGTAAAAGCTCTGAGGGCCAAAGGCAAAAGATCCTCTGGACTGTTTCCAAGTATCTGAAGAGTCAGGAAATGGGCAAAACTCATGGCAGCCTCAAGCTTAGGACCTGAGCCTTTAGTTTTCCATTCTGCACCTCAGCTTTCTCATATGTAAAATGGGAGTGATAACCTCTGCTCAGCCTCCTCATAGTGAGGACCAAGCCAAGCATTCATAATAATAAAGTTACTGACGTTTTACATAGAACTTTAAGGTTTCCAAAATGTTTTTCATGCATTAGCTCTTCTGATCCTACCACCCATTCTTTACAACAGGGATTAGATATTTTACAGATGAGGAAACTGAGGCTCAGAAATGTTGTATGGCCTGCCTATGGTCACAGCGCTAATAAAAAGCCAAAAACAAATGTGAACCCACTGTACCCTTGGCTCAAAGTCCAGGGCTCTTTCCATAATACCAGGCTGCTTTCAAAGGCATAAACCAAAGCCCATGTGTGGTTATTGTTCACATTCCCCATGGGCAGCTGCCCGGGAGCTGGGGAAGAAACCTGCCAGAGACACAATCCCCCTCCCTCCCCTGCCAGCCCCCATTACTTTCTGTAGGTAGAGTTGGAGTGACTCTGGATCCTGGTGTGTTGGCAGTTCTGCAAGTATGTCCTTGATCTTTGCTGAAACTTCATCCGGGTTACTTCTGGGTCCCAGAAGACACCAAAACATCTCATGGAATTCATCATCCTAAGGAGAGGGGCCCCACTTCCTGGCCTCGTCTCCCCCCTTGGACTCGGGACGTTTCCTTTTCCTACTCCTTCTCAGAGCTCAGCACAAGACTGGGCCCACAGAAGGCCTCGGTAAATAGAGTGGAATTAGGGTGACTGGGTGAGAGATGCAGCCTTCCCGCCCATCCATTCATCCATCCATCCATCTATCTGTCCATGATTGATATTAGGAAGGGGAAGTCCTCTGTCCTCACCTCTGGGGTGGCCTCGCTCACCCTTACCTGTCACAGAAGAGATACTCCTGGGATTTCCGGAGCTCCTTGGCTGTCTGGACGTGAAAGCCCAAGAAAGCCTCCTGGGCATCCTCTGGACAGTTACAGTGAACGAATTCCCGGAACTGCTGGTAGATGCCTTGCCATCGGCTCTCCACAGGAAAGGCCTCTAGCCCCAGCTGGCTGGAGACAGAGAGAGAGAGAGAATCTGGCTCACCTGACCCAGCCTCACACCTGCCAGGGCTGCCCGTCTCCAGCCTTGTTAGCTCTCCTCCCTCCCCCATCCCCCACTCCTCGAGGAGTGGAAGCCAGCCACGGCATGTGCCAGGAGGGGTCATGGCTCTGGGAGGGCCGTGGAAGAGGAATGGCAAGGGAGAGGAGGACCAGCAGAGATGAACAAACAGAGGAAACCAGAAAAATAATAATGTCCTGGGCAATTGGATTACAAAGTATCCCTGAGGATTTGGGTAGCCATGGAGTGACTGAAAAGAGAGAAAGGAATAGGTAGAAATGGAAGACGGTAAAGGTAAAAAGAATAAAGACTGGTGGAGATACAAAAAAGAAGGCAAGGAGAGAAAGACGAGAGAGGGCAAAAAGAAGAGGCAGAGAGTCACACTATGTCCCTGGGGATCGCTTGCCCCGCTCATCCTGGGTCCCTTTGATCTATGACTTGTGCGTCTGGGATAGAGCTGACTCCTCTGGCCGCAGCTTCCCCTCCCCCATCTATAGAACCCCCTAAATTGGAGCCCAGCACTTGGGAGCGTGAGCTACCCTTCCTAAATGTGCAGGCCAGGGTTGTCCCAGCCCTCCTACTCCCAACAGCCCCAGTTAACTGGTAAGAGCAATGAACCAGCAGCTCATTTTAGGGCAAGGCCAAGGATTCAGCAGTCAATATGATCATGTTGTGTGAGAAGACAGGGGAAAGGAGAGGAAGGAAGCATGGAGCTAGAAACAAATGGGCTCCCCTGGTCTCGTCTACTGCGCCCAGGCCCTTCTTTGCTCACTTCTACCATTAAGGACCTGAACCAAACTAGGGAAGGAATTTTGAAGTAGGGAAATCTAAGTAAGGAGAAGTAAACCAACTGAGGGGCCCCAAAGTACACAGTGAATGACCCACACTGGATTTGCTTCCTAGGGTTTGACAACAAAGGTGTGGATCCTAAGGTTCCTTGCAGCATTTACAATGTATGTTCTAAGATCAGTTCTCACCGTAACATTTTATGTTTTATATCCTAAGCTCTGACTTTTTTTTTCCTAAGGCTCCTTTAAGTTCTGAGATTCTGTGGTCATGGCCTTATTGCTATAATGGTCTAGTCCCTTCTAGCTCATAGGATATTCTATGTTCTGGAAGGCCCTTCCGGATCTAACACTTCCATGTTCCTTGGATGTATTGTTCTGTTGTTGTTCAGTTGTCTCAGCTGGGTCTGACTCTTCATGACTCCATTTGGGGTTTTCGTGGCAAAGATACAGGAGTAGTTTTCCTTTTCCTTCTCCAGCTCATTTTACAGATGAGGAAACTAAGGTAAACAGGGTTAAATGACTTGCCCGGGATCTCACAGCTAGTAAGCACCTGAGGCCAGATCTGAACTCAGGAACATGAGTCTTCCTGACTCCAGGCCTGATGCTCTGTAAACTATGGGGCCACCTACTTGCTTCTCTATATTCTTTCATCTACCTAGTGGAACTCATTGGAACCTTTAGGTCAGGCCTACTTCCCTTGATTCAAAAGACAAAAGGGCAGTCCCCTGTCTATATTCAAATGAGATGCAAAGATTCGGGTATGGGGTAGGGTTATGGAGGAAGAAGAGCTGGGTTCTCACCGTTTACAGGTATGCATGGGATCCAAAGGGTGAGCAGTTGTCTCCAGGACACCCTGGGTATGGAAGCCCTTACCGACCCCAGTACTGAAGGAAGCCTTTAGAAAGTAACCATTGGGGAAAGTGATTTTGCCCTGAAATAAAGAGAAAACAAAGTAGGATGTCTTGCTTGTGAGTAAGTAGGCCTTACCTCCTCTTTACAGAAGACACTCTTCCATTTGGAGCTAACTTTCTGGCATTTGGTTGCTATCAAGTTAATTTGATGGAAATCATCAATTTTATCTTGCAATTTACCTAGCACAGGCTACCCTTAGTCAACCTCTACCCCACAGTCTCTGCACAGTAAAATGAGAACAAGGACTATCTCTCTTGTATTTGTATCCCCAAAGCCTGGCACAGTGCCCAGAACACAGGAGGGGATTAATAAGTGCTTGCTTGTTGTTGATTAATTGATTGACATTGTCTATAAAAGGCTCCTGCCAGAAGGCAAATAGATGATCTAGAAGGAGGAGTTGATGTCTATTAACACTAAATTCCTCCTCTGAAGTCCTCTTCCAATAGCTCATTATAACCCAGAGGTGACCTTGAGCTCTTGAGGGCTATGCCAGTGGAGAGAAACATCTGGCAATTCCTCCCAACTTGGTGCAGCTTCAAATATGAGCCCAGGAATGGGTGTCATCTGAGGACTCAACTAGGTCCAGAGAGACTCATCTTAGATGGTTGGCTACCTAGGGATGAATGTTTCAGGCTATAGAAACTCATGAAATTTTCTTGCTATTAGTGCTTAGAACCTCTGTCAGCAAAGAGTCCCCACTAAGGAAATTATAAAATTCTTACTGATTCTTACCCCATTGAGTGTGTGTTTGGGGAAGGTAAGGAGGGACTGGTTACAACCAGGTTGGGAGAAAGATTCTATTTAAACCTAAGAAGCTTTAGACTTGCTTTGTGGGCTAGGGGGAAGGGAGGAGGAGATGGTCAAGTCTTCAAGCCTAGAAATTGAATCACAATGATTGGATGGAGAGGACTCTTGATTATTAATTCCTGGAAAGTCAATGAATCCATCCCCCAGCTTCAAAGTCACCCAAAAGTCAAAAAAGACCCTTCACCCAGCCAACCCTGGACTTGACATCCTCTAGTCCATGCCACCATCTTGCCTCTTCCCCTACAGGAATATGGCTTAACTCAACCCCAAACCTGGCTTTCATAGTAATTCTGGAATAAGGGAGAATTTCAATGAGCTCGCCCCCCAAGCCCAACGCTATAATCTATTCTACTGAGTCTCTTCCACTATAACCTATCCCACTGAATGACTCATTGGAGGCTGCTTACTTTCCCTGTGTAGGCCAGGTCTCTCGTGAAGCTGCCCTCATAGAGTGAGTCATCTTCCAACAGGAGTATCCCAGGGCCCTGGAGGAGATATAATAGGAGGCGAGCCCAGTGAGGGCTTAAGAAGAGTGTCAGGGGCTGACTAGAGAGAGAGCCAAAGAAGCAGCAGTCGGCACCTCAGCCGGCCAAGATACAGTCACCATAATATTGTTGCTGCTGTGTTATTGACTTGATCCTTGACAACAATCCTGTGAGGTACAGAGTGCAAATATCATTTGACAGAGGAGGAAACCGAGGCACAAAGACTGCCTTGCCCAAGGTCACACAACTAGCAAGGGGGAAAGATAGGACTCAAACCCAGGTCTCCTGACAACGAGTCCAGGGCTGTTTTCAGTATATAGTGCAGATATTTCCGTGCCCCTTTTATAAAGGAACAAATCTTGCCCAAGGTCACCCAGCTTATATATACAACTCAGTACCTTGTCATCTGCCAAGAGAGGGAAGTCATTTGGATGGTACAGATGCTATCTCCAATGCAAGGAGAGCAACTGGACAGCAGGGCAACTCCGGGTTTGAGCGCCCCAAAGCATAAGAAGTCACACATGCTCCATTTCCGGAGAGAGCTAAAGAGCAAATTAACCAGGAATCATCCCCATGGCCTTCAGAATCCTGGAGCTGGAAGGAACCTAGAGCTCATCTGGTCCAACGTCCTTCTTTACAGATGAGGAAAGAGACCACCAGTGCAGGGGCCAGGGGCAATTCGTCCAGAGTCATACAGCTCAAAAGGACAGATCAAGAGTCTAACTCCAAATCCCATGTTCTTCCAACCACACCAAGCTAGAGAACATTTACAAGTTGTTTTCCACCCTTACATCCCTGTAAAGTATTTAGTACAAGTTTGTTATCCCTGTCTTACAAATAATGAAACTGGGGTTCATAAGAGTTAAATGATTTGCGTAGGATCACATAGTAAGTGTCAAGCTGGGATTCAACAATAGTGCCCTTTCCCTTAGACCAGAGTTTCTCAAAGTGGGGTCTGTAGACCCCCAGAATCCCTGAGACCCTTTCACAGTCTCCAAGACCCCCTTTCAGGGAGTCCAAAAGGTTGAAATTATTTTTGTGATGATACCAAGGCATTATTTTCCTATTCCAATGTTGTTGTTGTTGAGTGGTTTTTAAGTTGTGTCTGATTCTCCATGACCCCATTTGGGGTTTTCTTGGCAGACATACTGGAGTAGTTTGCCATTTATTTCTCCAGCTCATTTTACAGATGAGGAAACTGAGGCAAAGAAGGTTAAATGACTTGCCCAGGGTCACACAGCTAGTACGTGTCTGAGACCGGATTTGAACTCACTAGATGGATCTTCCTCCAGGACCAGCACTCTGCCCTATTCAAATACTCCTCTCCTTTCCAACTATGCATCTGTGTGAGGCCAGATTTTCTTCACATCCTTCAACCAAAACAACACATCACAACCGATTGTATGCAAAAGTAAATATGAGAATCCAACTGTTTTCTAATAAGTCAGCCAATAAAGAGATCTGCAAAAAATATGTGAAACAACCCCACCCCTTTCTCACTAAATTTTTTTGTTTTGGAAAATACAGTTATTTTTCATTAAAATGTTATGTATGTTAACATGCAGTAGGTTTATTATTGTTACTTTTAAATGAATACACATTTTAAAAATTTATCATTTTAAATTTCTAATATGGTAAATACTGATAGATATACCCCAGATATACAAGAGTTTTTGTGGGGAAGGAATGGGTCAATAATTTTAAGAGTATAAAGGGGACCTGAGACCAAAAAGATTTAACAACCTCTGTACTCTACTTATCTAACTTTGTATCTCAGGCCTCCACACACAAGTGCTTAATGTTCCTTAGGGTTCCCAAATAGAGCTACCCAGGCCCCAAAGCACCAGGGCTTTTATCAAGAGGACATCGAGATCAAAGAGATTAAATGATGCTCAGCTTTCCTTGACCGCCATTGTAATGTTCTTTCTACCACACTACCCCTGGTGGAAAGGCCAAGCCTAGGAGCCAGTTGGCCCTGAAAGCTGTACCAGGAGATTCTATGGCCAAACCAGAGTCCCTCAGGAGGCAGCTAGTATATATTAGAGAGAACCTCTGTCTTTACAGTCGTTAAGCCTGGGTGGTTCAATGTCTAGAGTGCTGGACTTAAAGTCAGAAAGACCTGAGTTTAAAACCTTAGTATAACCCCTCTGAGTTTCATGACCGTGGGTACATCTCTTAAATTCAGCCTCAGTTTTCTTAACTGTAAAATAGGGATAATACCTATGGGACCTAGCTCACAGCCTCACAGGAGTGTTGTGAGGTTCAAATTGTGTGTGTGTGTTTGTATGTGTGTATCCACACACATATATAATCTCATTTGAACCTATGTAAATAAAAAATATACATACATTACTTTTTGAAGCATATACAAAGATATATAGACATATATAAAAATATGTGTGTGTATAATATATGCTTCAAAAAGTATATGTATACACACACACAACTTTTTGAAGCATATATAAAGGTCAGTTATTACTATTAAGTCCCAGCTCTGCCATTTATTAGCTGCATGAAGCCTCTGTTTCCTCATCTGTAAAATGGGAACAGTAATAATACTGCACTTACATTCCTCAGAGGGCTATCGCGGGGATCGAATGAGATGAAGTAGGTAACGTGGCTTTGTAAACCCCACCGTGGTTTATAAAAGTTAGCCATTAATATTAAGCTATTACTAGCAAAGGATTTCATGCTTGATGACAGGCCTAGACCCTGGAAGAGGTTTTATTTTTCTTTCTTCTTTTTAGTCACTAGCAAGGTCCTCTTTGAAAACCCAACCTTTGGCCCCAGGGAGCTAAAGGGAAGAGGGAATTTGGCCTCCCCCAAGCCAAGAAAGGTAGGAAAGTCAGAGAGTGGTATCTGCAGGCCAGGCCCAGGCAAGTGGCACCAAGAAAGCAGGGAGCAGTAGATGTGGGATATTGGTCTCTTAGAAAATAAAGACAACCTCAGGTAGGCCAGGATCTGAGGTTGGGCTATGAGCACCCCACTGTCCTGGGCACTATTTCTTTAAAAATGACCTGGTACCACCATAGTATTCTAGTCAACCTCTACATGTTCTGTGTTCCGACTAAATGGAAGTACAATCCAGGGGCACTGGCCTTCTTTCTGTTCCTCACCCACAATGCTTATCTCCCAGCTCCATGCACGTCCTCCATGCCTGGAATTCTCTCCCACTTGACTTCCCTCAAGTCTCAGCTAAAACCCCATCTCTTCTGCAAGACACCTTTTGCTCCCCCTTAATGCTAAGGCCTTCCCTCTGAGATTATCTCCAATTTTTCCTGTATATCGCTAGTTTCTACATAGCTGATTTTATATCGTCTCTCCCCATAGACTGTAAGCTCCTTGAGGATAAGAACTTTTTTTTGCTTTTCTTTGTATCTTTAGCTCTTGGCACAATGCCTGGCACATAGTAAGTGATTAATCAATGCTTATTGACTTGTCTTAGTATGACTTAGTATTCACCCACATCCTTGCCTTTGTTCCACTATGCCTGGCTCACCCTCCCTCACCTTTTTCACCCATTGAATTCCAACCTACCCTTTGGGTATATATTGGGCTATAGCCCAATTCATACTTTACTTTTCTTTTTTTTACCTCACACTGAAATTTCCAAAGCACTTTCCTCACAATTACCCTGTGAGGCAGGTAGTGAAGGCATAATTATCCCATTTTACAGATGAAGAAAGTGAGACCCGGAGAAATTAAAGAATTTGACAGCTATCATGGCTCCAGGTCCTCCTATCTTGCCTCTCTAAGAATTCCTCCCTTCTTAGCCAATCCCCTGGCATTCTCGTAATCACTGTTAATGACTCATATAACACTTTGCACCTTTCTGATGCACATGTAAAAATAGTTAAAATCCCACACTTTCAGGTATACAAAACAATTTACCATTTGCATCTCACAACGATACTGTATTATTATACATTGTGTATTATCTGTTAGTCTTTTAGTCTTCTGTGAACTCCATGAGAACAGGAACTGTGTATTATTTCAACTTTCTATATGTTCCCTACCTCTGAACAAAGTGCTCTGCCCACAAAAAGCACTGATAAGTATTTGTTGAATAAATGGATAAATGAATGAATGAATGAACAAAAGAACAGATGAATGAATGAATCATTCTCCATGGATAAGACCAGTTTGAGATAATGGACAGTGGGCTCACGTGAGCTGAAAACAACAACAACCCTTATTTAGGATTTGATACCAAGTCTTTTTTTTTTCCCCTTAAAAAACCCCACAACATATTTGGATAATTATATCAGCACTCTAAATGTAATGTTCTTGTTTCTAACTTCTTAGCACTTTATAAGCCAAGCCAATGTTGTCAATCGTGGAATAAAGAAATAAATTAGTGCTTGGATTAAATATCTATTTTTGTTTCCTTTTATTTGATTCTATTTATAAATTTTATGGTTTGGTTTTTTTTACTTAAAAAGTGAGTGGAATGACTTACCACCATCTTATCTGCATGGAAAGTCCTCTGGTAACAGATGCCAGACTGGGTGACCACAATGCCCTGCCCATGCCGGTGGTCAGCCTGCCACATTCCAATGTAACGCTCCCCCCTGGAGGATAAGACAGAGACAACCCTGTGTGGGGAGGGCTGGAGGCAAGAGGGGTTGGATCATAAACCATTGCCCGTTTCCCCCTCCACCCCCTCGATAATACAGCCAGTTCTGGAGTAGAAGGAGTGGGTGCTGGTGGCAAGGTGAATATCACACAGCAGACAAACCATGCAGGATCCGAGAGACAGAGATGGAAAATTTAAGGAGACAGCTACAAATTTCTCTAGTACCTTTATTTTTCCCTTCTTTAATTCCTACATTTTAAAGGAAATGAGTTGTAGAAGAAAGCACAGGGAATTTGGATCCGGGAGACTTGGATTTGGATCCTAGCTCTGATACATATTGTCAGTGTGACTTGGAATAAATGCCTTCATCTGTCTGGGCCTCAGTTAATTTATCTGTAAAATGGGAGTATGCACTACCAATCCTACAAAGTTAGTGTCAGGAAACTGCTTCGTAAGCCTTAAAACACTACAGAAATAGGGGTATTTATTATTCTAGCACAGACAAGACTGAGAGCCAGACAGCTTCCTAGAAACAAGGTGCATTAGCGGAGAGAACAGGGTATTATTAGGGTCTTAGATTTGGGGTCAGGGGCCTGGGATTTGAACCTATTCTACAAAACTTACTAGCTTTGTCATCAGTTTCCTCATGTGTAAAATAGAGATCAATAATGATCATTGAGTTGTTGTGAGGAAAGGTTTTATAAGTCAAAAAATACTATAGAAATATTATTCTCAATAAATAATAATAATTGCTAATATTTCTATTGTACTTACCACGTGCAAGGCAGTGTGCTAAGCACTTTACAATTATCATCTCATTTGATCCTAACAACAACCCTCATGAGGTAGGGCTATTATTAACCTCATTTTACAGGTGAGGAAACTGAGGCAAACAGAGGCGAGGTGGCTTGCCCAGCATCATCCAACTAGTAAGTATCTGAGGTCATATTTGAACGCAGGTCTTCCTGACTACAGGCCCAGTGCCTTGTCTGCTGCACCACCTGGTTGTCCTATCAACAGCTGCCCCAGTGAAGAGCTGGACTAGAGACCCCAATAAAAGAATGGAGCACATGAATCTTTTTGAGAAGGCATGAAGGGTGTAAAGAAGGGAGTCCCTAAGCCTGTTAAGCAGCACGGGGAAGCCTCTAGATTGGGCTGCCAATAAGTAAACCAATTCACCAACATCTTAAACTAATTTTGCCTTCTGTTTCAATCGCATTGATCTTCAGAAGATCTCAAAGCCTTCCCTCACCCTTTGGACCAAATCTTTCAGAAACGGACATTTCAGGGGCACTCTTCTCTACTTTGCTAGTGGAGGAATGACATGATTTGGAAAAGTTTCACAATATTAAAGTTGAATGGTTCTCTAGGCATGGCACCATAGGTTTAGAGACAGTCCCCTCCTTTTATAGGCAAGGAACCGAGGCCCAGAGAGGTTAAGAAATTTGCCAAAGGTCACACAAGAGCAGAGCTGGGATTTGAACCCAGGTCCTCTAACTTACTCGCTTACAGAGGAGGAGACTGAGGACCAGACAAGGGAAGGGATTCACCCAATAGCAGAGCCAAGGACTACAACCCCTGCTTCTCCAGTTCCAGTCCAGGGCTAATCCTGCCACACTCTGCTGTCTGACCCAAGATTAGCTGTGAGGGGAAGAAGCAGAACCTTCGAGCCCTGATTTTCACTTTCCCAGTGTGGAAGCAGAAAGCACTGAGCACTCAGGATCATAGATTCAGAACTGAAAAAGACCTAAGGCCATTGATCCCAAACCTATTCATTTTATAGGTGAAGTGATGGAGTACAAACAAGCGTCTGAGGCAGGATTTGAACCCAGGTCTTCTGACTCCAAATCCAGTATCCTATCTACTCCTCCGCCATGCATGTGCTGCCTCTCGTTCGAATCAGCCTCAGAACAGTGTCCTGATCTGAAATACTTGGTTGAGACAGAAAATCTAATTCACTTTTCCTTGAGTAGAAGACTTAATCAAAATAGAGAGTGTACTGAATTTTCCCTGAGACAGAACAGGAAGCTAGATCTTGATGCAAACTAAGAGCGCCTTGTTTATTGCTGACCAAAGGAAGATGGAATGCCTTTTTTGTAAAGAAAACCAAGAGAAGCATCCTTTGTGAGCCAGCCAGAGCAGGGGCTCTCTCTTAACCCCTTTTGTGCCATGCAGGAGGATGCCTCTGGCAGTGTCTGGTGAATCCTAGGGACTTCTTCTCAGGATCAGGTTTTTAAATGAATAAAATACAGCGTTACAAAGAAAACCGATTATATTGAAATGAAGATGTGAAAATATTTCTTAAAACACATTAACGAGCACCAAATTAAGAACTCCTGCATTAGGAAGAAAGGCAGTGAGACTCTTCTCTGAGAGTCCGTGCCCACATGAACATACATTTCAATTTATAATTCCACATCCCCTCAAGTAGAACCATGTGCTTTTGTTTTCCTATTACTATGGATTCTCATCTTGGCTTTCATGGTGACTTTCAAACGTCGGCTAGGCCCTGCGTGTCTGCTTTAGCGGGAAGAAGGAATCTCCTTCCAAGCAGATATTTGTGCATTTGTTCAATAATGTGTCTGACAGATGGGACTGAAAGGCCAGTCTTCCACCCCTCATCACCTTCCCCAATATGCCTTACCTGGTTCCAATCACTGTAAAAAGCCATAGAGCCAATTATAAGTTTCAGGTGTCTCCTTAAGTCAGTTTTCTCTGTGAGTGTCCTAATTTCCCCATCAGACTACGACAGGGGTGGGGAACCTGTGGCCTTCTAGGTCCTTGAGTGTGGCCTTTTGACTGAATCCTAGAAGGCCACATGTGGCGTTAAACCCACAGGTTCCCCATCCTAGATTAGGAGTTTTTACTCAGGCAGCAGGTTCACAAGAACGGGGTCATGATTTTCCCTTAGGCTCCCTATGGTATATTTCTTCCTTAAACAAGAGATCTCTAAAGACAAGGACTGTTTCTTGCCAAGTCTCAGATTTTGTCCATAAGGCAGTGACAGATAGATGAATTGGCTGCTAATAATCCAGGGGAGACTGGGCCCCTGTGACCATGAGGGAGCTCCATCCTCACCTAAGGCCCTTACCTGTCTTTGTCCTCCAAGACCCCATATCCATTCTTCTTGTCCCTGTCCCAGTGCCCCATGAACTTGAAAGGCTGCGGAGCCTGAGGGGAGCTCTCCAGGACCCCAAATCCCTGCCGCATGTTGTCTCGGAAGTAGCCTTTATACACTGACTCATTGGCATACCTGAAGGAGAAGGGGAGGTTTGTAGGTCAGCAAACACCCGGAAGGACACACTGGCTGGCACATCCTTAACAAGAGCTCCATATCCCTACAGTACTGTGACTGAGACACCTCAGAATCTGGTACCCATGAGACCAAGGCCATATGCGCCATTTCTGCTGAGAAAAATACCAGTGCTTAGTTACAGACTGAGGCCTGACCCCAGTTACGGAGTGAGTGTTCACGCTGTTAGCCCTCCTCGTCAGTAGCCATGACTGAGAGATGTCTTAACTCCCCTTGCTAACTGTGAATTGGGCAGGAAACTTAGTGAGAGACATCTGGGCCACTTGCTACCAGAATCTGCCAACCCCACTTGGTCAGGGGTCTCCCCACTGCTTCCCGCTGCCCATTATAGTATTGGTGTCATGGCTACTGCCCAAGGGCCAACAATAAGAAACAATGGTCATTCAGAACCCAGGGTGCATCAGGCAAAGGTAGGATTTGTAGAAGAAATCAGGAAGAACATTTAGAGGGTCTATAACTGTTCTCTTCAAATAAGTGAAGATCTATCATGTGTTGCAAAGATTACACGGCTTCTCTTTAGCTCCAGAGGAAAGAATTTAGATACACCAGGGGAAATGAAAGAAACACATTTCAGCACCATATAAGGAAGAACTTCCCAGTGACTCATGGCGTCTACAAGTTGAATGGGCCATCTTGAAAAGTAGCAAGCTCCCTATCACTAAACTGCTTCTTGGGAGTGAGGTGGAAGGAATTCCTGTCCAGGATCAAGTTGGACAAACTTGTCTCTGAGGTCCCTTCCAACTAAGATGCTGTCATCCTCCCCCAGGGTTCCTGTTCTTTCCCTTTGGGGGACTAATGAGGCTGGGAAATCTTGCTAAAAAAAAAAAAGTCACTGCTGCCTAGAGAGAGAAGCACCTAGAAATAGGATTCATAGAACCACAGAATGGGAACCACAGAACCACAGGAAGGGATCTTGGAAACCATTTAATTCAGGTGCTTAATCCGAGGTACACAACTCCTCCATTCCCCAAGGGATCCATGAATTTGAATGGGAAAAAATTATATATTTGTATTAATATATTTTCTTATAATATATTTTGTTCTATGCATTTTTTAATTCTGAGAAAGGAGTTATATGCCTATAACACAAAAAATTAAGAATGCTTGATCTAGTTAGGCCCTTTCATTTTATAGAAATTGGGGTTCATAGAGGGAAAATGATTGGAAGAAGGTCACCCAGTAAATCTAAGGCAGAGCCAGGGTCTCACACCCAGGTCTCCTGAATCCACCTTGGGCATTTGTTTCATTATTCTAAGCATAGAGATCAGGAGGGTGACCCAGTTACTCTCCTTCCCACCCCCTCCCCATCTGGCCTTGCCTCCCACCTCCCCCCAAGGCCCAGAATCATCACTTACTCACAGATGCCATAGCCCTGCATCTGGCCCTCCCGCCAGTGGCATTTGTAACAGTCATACTTGTCTTCAGCCCCACGAGGGACCAGGCGGATCCCAAACCTATAGAATCAATCAAAGATGGGGCATAAAGTTCGTGGTGGTTTCAGACTTCTGCACCTCCAGGACTACATGCTGGGTTGGACCTCTGATCCTGCCTACTTCCTGCTTCCTAGCCCTCTCCCTTTCCCCATTCAGCTTCTAAAAACCCTCCTTCTATGGAAAGAATGCTTGGATTTATAAGTATTGATGATGATAATGATGAAGATGATGATGATGACTTATTTATAAATCCAGAAAAACTGGGTTATTAACAGCTTATATTTCTAATGAGAAGATGTATACAAACAGTTTCACAAACCTTGAAATACTTTGTAAATGAAAGCTATTATTGTAATTATCTTTGTTGTTAAGTCATTTCATTTGTGTCCAACATAACCCCATTTGGGGTTTTCTTGACAAAGATACTAGAGTGGTTTGTCATTTCCTTCACCAGCTCATTTTACAGATGAAGAAACTGAGGCAAACACAGAGCTAGCAAGTATCTGAGGATAGATTTGAACTCAGGAAGACGAGTCTTCCTGATTCTAGGCCTGGTACTCTATCTACTGCTCCACCTGGCTTCCCCACTTGATCACACTTTGATGTTTACAAAGTCACTTTCCAGCCAACAGTCTTATAAGGTAAGTAATTATTATTATCCCCATTTTATAGATAAGAGATTCGGCCAAAGTCAAGAGGGTCAGACCAGCATGAAAGCCTAGGAAAACAAATTCATCTTTACTTCCCACTCCTCTTCTAAAAAGATACCATTCCCTCCTCCTGTGGTCTCTTTATCCTCTCCCTCAGAAAAACCAAACTGGTTCTTCCACCCGCAGAAGAGTTAGTCGTACTTCCCCTGGACCCCTGCCCCATGTGGCCCCAGGATTCAGAAGCTAATCTATGCCTCCCCTTTCCTGAGTTGCCCCAGGGGCAGTCACTTAGGCTTCCCTGCCCTGGCTGTCATGACCGCTCTCATACCATGGGGTCTTACCCATGCTCCAAGCCCTGGTGGAAGTCACCAACATGATTTCTTCCATCTGGCCACTTCAAGGTACCCCTGTAACGCAGACGGGTGAAAATTAAAAGCTGTCAGAGGGCAGCTGCTCAGTGCCAGGGACAGGAGAGAAGGCAGAGTCGTGCCTTTGAGTCTTCATTTGTCCTCAACCCTTCCAGATAGCGATAGCCTGTCCCTCATGTCACCTACAAGGAGTGTGGAAGCAATGAGAAGCATGGACAAAAGAGACCTGTGATTTTAGAGTTTTCTAATAATGATAAAAATGACAGCTGGCATTTACTGAGAGCCTCTCGATTTATAAAGTTCATGGTGCAAAAGAATATTGGATTTGGGGTCAGAAGACTCCCTGGTCTGATAATTGGAGTTGTCTAAAAGTGGAAGGGGCTATCTATCAGGGAGGAGAGGTCCCTCCTCCTCGGAGGTCTACAAGCAGAGAATGGAAAAAGAACGTGTTGAGTATGTTACAGTGAAGATTCCTTTTAAGTTGGAGGAGTTGAGTGTGGAGATCCAGCTAGCTCTCAGACTCTGTGACACTCCTCCCTCCTCCCCACCCCCAAGAGCCACTCACTCACTTTCCATGAGGCTTCCCCCAGAACCAATTGCCATCATAGGTGGCAAGACGCAGCCGGTCCTCAGTACGAAAAGTGTAGAGGCAGTAGCGGGAGGCAGGGGGTTGGGCCCCCTCCTGGTTCTGGTCCTGTTCCAGCACAGGGATGTCCCTTTTCCCACTCAGTGCCTGGCAGGTGGCCTGGCTCACCGTGGACAGCCAGCAAGTCTGCAGAAAAAAAAGGTAGGATGGTATTTCAAAGGTTTGAAGAGGGTAGGAAAGGAGCGGAGAGGTAAAGTCATCACACTCCTTTCATTCATACTGCTCCTAGAAGGTTGTTCCATGAGGAAACCTTCCCAGATTGGGCAAATAACAGTTCAAAGTCTCCAAGACCATGTCTGTGTCCTTAGGGCTGCTAGATGGTGGAGTGTATAGAGCACCCCAAACTATGAATTTAGAATACCAAGATTTTAAACCCTGCCTCAGACACTAACCAGCTTAGTCAAGCCATTTAACCTCTATCTGCCTCAGTTTCCTCATCTATAAAATGGGGATAGTAACAACTCCTACTTCCCAGGACTGTTGGGGACCAACACTCTACAGATCATCACTCTACAGGGCTTTGCAAACCTTGAAGTTCTACATAAATATTGATTACTACTACTACTACCACCACCACCACCACCACCTCTACTACTACTACTACTACTACTACTACTACTACCACTACCACCACCACTAGCACCAAGGTAAAACTCCCACAGCCACTACTACTACTCCTACTACTACTACTACTATTGTAGAACTCCCACAGCTACTCAGAAGAATCCTTCTTTTGGTCATCCTTTCCCTACTCCAAATTTTAATCACCCTTAGCTGCTATTGGTAATTTGTATTATTGAGACTGTCCAGTTAGCCCAGTGGTTAGAGAAAGAACATGTGAGAACCAGATCGGGGTGGGAAGAAAAAGGGGAGGAAAAATATGTGTTCTCCTGACTGAGGCTTAACCCAGGCCACAGAGCAGTCATTTCACAATCTCATACTTTGGCTCATAGAGTTAATCAATTACCTTCTCACTCCAATCGGTATTTTCTCTTTAGGATCTTTGTTGACTAAAATATTCCTCACACTTTCTCTAAATGAATCATCTTTCCCTATTAGGCTATAAACTTCCTGAAGGCAGGGACCAGCTTACTTGCTTATCTTGGTATTACCAACATCTGGCATAGCTCTTGGCACATAAACAATGCTTAATAAATGCTTTTTTTTTCATTTATCCATTCATTTCATTCAGAGAAAACTATGTGAACAAACGATGGGGTTGTGTGAACCGCTCCCCTTGCTAGGGACACAGCTCCAAGCACACTTCCAAAGGAGATCTCTGCATATTCAAGACAACTCCCTGCGGAGGGAAGAGAACCCTGGGCTTTATAGCCAGGTATTAAGGATGCTTATGGTTCCCTGACACGAGGCCTCTGCTTTCCTGGGCTCAGCCTCCCTCCTTACTCACCTTGTCTTGGGCATCCTTTGCAGAGAGAGAAAACTCCTCTTCAGGCGTGATGACATGGAACCCATATCTGGAAGCACAGGAGTTACAATAAGCAGCCCACAATAGTAATCCCGTGGTGTAGTAGAATGAACACTGGACTCAAAGCATAAGACCTAGGATCAAGTAACAATTCTGCAAGTGACTCCCTGTGTGTGCTTCCTCTGTCTAAACCTCAGTTTCTTCCTCTCCAAAATAGGGGTAATAGTACCTATACTACCTACTTCTAGGATCATTATCAGGAAAGTGTTTTATAAACCTTTAACTGCTATAGAAATTAGCTGTTACAAATTATTATTAATATATCAGATTAGCAAAGTATCATTTCTGAAGGCACTAGCATCGACACAGGGCTTTTAATGTTTGCAAAGTGTTTTCCAAATATTATCTCATTTTTATCCTCACAATGATCCTGGAGGTGGGTTGGGTAGGGGGAAGGGAATAAGCAAGGGTGCACAGGGTGTTCAGGAGGACTGGTACCTCTGGGGTGAGGGCTTGCTGAGCTCTTTCCAGGGCTGCTCATCCACCTTTGGTGTCCACCTGGCGCCCGCGGCTCCAACAAGCTGGAGCACGCACAGTGGCCACATCCCAGCAAACCGTCTTGGCAGACAGGCTAAACCAGGTTGAGGGTAAAAACCGACAAGCCTCAAACCTGTTGGTGACTTAGGTGGGTGTCTACCCCAAGTATATGAAGACTTTCGTTGGAGGGATGGGCAGATGAGGACAATTTGTTCTAATGGTGGTGAAGGTGGCTGACGCAGGTGCTGGTGAGCACTTAGAGCTTGGTCAGACTACTAAGACACCAAGGTCACCGCTTCCCGGGCCATCGCTAGTTGTCGTGGCTTTTGTCCTGCCACTGGCCTTGAATAACTCAGGTAGAAAGAGTGAGGCTGACAACTTTGTGCATTTCTGCCTGACTTGAATCCAATTCACACACAAGTCAAGACATCACCTTTGATGTCACTGGTTCTCTTCAAAAACTAAGAACAAAAAACATCTATGCGCCAGGCACTGTGCTAAGTGCTTTACAAATATTATCTCATTTGAGGTAGATGCTACTATTATCCCCATTTTACAATGTGGAAACTGAGTCACACAGAAAGGTTCAGTGACTTACCTAGAGTCACCCAGCTAGCAAGTGCCTAAGGTGGGATTTGAACTCAGGCTCTATCCAGTGCAGCCCCTAGCAGGCTATTAATGAAAGGGAAAGGAAAGAAAAAAGCGAAAACTGAGGAACCTTGACCATGGACCAGCATCACACTGCTTTGGGGAAAGAGCTCAGGATTTGAAGTCAAGGGACAGAGGCAATGACTTCCTGCCTTGGACGTTTATAGGAGCTATAGTCAGAAGTCACCTTAGAGATCATCTATTCCAGCCCTCTCATTTTACAGAGAAGGAAACTGAGGCCCAGAGAGGTTCTGTGATTTGCCCAAGATCACCCAACCAGTAAGTAGCAGAGGCTCATTGTGAGGACAGCACTTTGTAAACCATAAAAAAGCTATTATTTTTATTAAATGCCTACTATGCGCCAGGCACTGTGGGATACAAAGAAAGGCAGAAAAAAAAAGTCCCTGATCTCGAGGAGCTCACAGTCTATGGGGGGAGATCACATGTGAACAACTCTGTACAAACAAGATGCCTCCAGGCTAAATTGGGGGTAGCCTCAGAGGGAGAGAAGGCACTGAGACTAAAGAGGATTGGGAAAGGCTTCTTGCAGAAGGTGAGGCTTGAAGGAAGCCAGGGAAGCCAGAGGCAGAGATGAGGAAAGAGAGCATTCTATGCACTGGGGACACCCAATGAAAACTTCCTTCCTATGGAGCAGGAAAAGGAAGGTGGGAACCTGGGTCGCTCTCACTATTGAACTGCAATCTATGCTCACTCACCTGTTTGGCATCTGCTTCTTGTCATGCCTGGCATCCACCCAGACCAGCTTCAGGTCAAAGGTCTGGAAGCTGTGACCCTGAAAGAGCAAAAGGCGGCATCACTGACCATGAGCACCTGTCCAGAGCCCAACTTTTGTTGTGTTCAGTTGTTTCAGTTGTGTCCGACTCTTCATGACCCCATTCGGGGTTTTCTTGGCAGAGATACTGGAGTGGTTTGCCATTTCCTTCTCCAGCTCATTTTACAGCTGAGGAAACTGAGGCAAACAGGGTTAAGTGACTTGCCCGGGGTCACACAACTATTAAGTGTCTGAGGCCAGATTTGAACTCAGGTCTTCCTGACTTCCAGGTCTGGAGCTCTATCCGCTGCCTCCAAGCTGCCCCAACTACGAGGAGATAAAGGTATATTTTTGTGAAGAGGTCATCCCACAGCTGGTCTTTATTTGTTTGTTTACAGACTCTTCTCTTATATTCAAAGTACATTTAACCTATGTGGATAAAAGACCTCAGCTGCTGGGTTAGGAAACTTGGACTGTAGTTCAGGCTCTGCCATTGACAAGTCATGACCCCATGGCAAGTGACTTGATTTCTACAGCCCTCAGTTTTCCCATCTGGAATGGAGAGATTAAGGAAGCACAGATCATTGGGTTGGGAACCCAAGCTACCCAGATCCAAGCCCCAGCCCAGATTAGCTGCATGACCTTGGGCAAGTCCCAGCTCTCAACAAAGTGAACAAACATTGATCACACAACCTTATGGGCGACCCTCTGCCCCAAACCTTGAGGATGCAACGATTTCTGTTGCAATCCAGTCAGATACGGTATGTCCACAAATAAGCCTGGGAACATGTGATGAAGGCAAAGAACCAGAGGAAAACGTCAAGTGGAAAAGATCCTTTTCAGCCACACGTGACGGGGAGAGAATGGAAGGTCCGTCAAGGCAACACGGGAGGAAGCATTTCAGTGGAGGGAGATGCAGGGGGTGGAGAACTCTGAGCCTCAGTATCCCCCTCTCTAAGATGATGGTAGTAATGCTTGCAATGCCTCCCAACCTGAGCCATTGTAATTACTTTATCTATTGCTGGGTTCTCCATTTCTAAAAACAGCAGCCCCGATTTCTCTGCTTGCTAAAGCTGAAAAAGCACTTTGCTTCCAACAACTCTGTGAGGCAAGGATTTTCTCATTGCGTTAGGATTATCGTCCCCATTTAAAGATCAATAAACTGAGGGTCAGAAAAGTAAAGGGACTTTTCCAGTGTCACACAATACATAGCAGAACCAGGATTTGAGCCCTGGGTCTCCTGACTCCAACTCTGGAAGTCTTTCCATGACACTATGCTGCTTCTCTAAAAAGGAACAAATCCAGGTTGTCCTGAAGTCTGGGGCAGAACACCCGACTTGGAGGTAGGAAATCCGTGTGATATTAAACGAGTCCCAGCTTTTCTGGACTTCAGTTTCTTTATTTGTAAAATGAGACATTGGGTGCAGTAGATGGAGCTCCAGCCTTGGAATCAGGAGGACCCGAGTTCAAATCCGGCCTTACACACATGACACTTACTAGCTGTGTGACCCTGGGCAAGTCACTTAACCCCAACTGCCTCACCAGAAAGCAAAAAAACAAAAACAAAAAAAAAAATTCAAATAAAATGAGAGATCGGAAAAGATGGTCTCTAAGGTTTTTTCCTATGCTAAATACCCTAACAGAGGTAACTTATTCTTTTATTGTTGGGAAGCCACTAAGCAATGAAAAAGAGATTTTATAATAATTCATATTTACATATTCCTCTAAAGTTTGCTAAGTCATTTTTTTCTAAAACCGGACATGATTTTATTGGTATAGGGAACTCCCAATGAGTAAACTCTATCAATCCAGGACAGTACCTCTCCTACAACAGTTAGAAACCATCCAAGGCAGAATTAGAATTCAGATATTCTAAAGAGACACCCAATGCTCTTGCCATAGGGCCACAGTTCTGCTGGCATGGGGTACCTACTCGTGTCTTTTTAGGGACAGCCTAGGGGCTGGGCACTTACTCCTCTATCTCTCCCTGTATTCTCTCCCAAGAAGGGTATTCCCCATACTCATCCCTAGGACTATTCCCTTTGTCCCTTTTCCGAGAACACCTTTCTCACCTGCAGCAGAACAAGAACATCATTGAAAAGGAGGACTCGGTCAGCTCGGACTGGGCCGGTCACCACAGGTATGTCCTGGCTGTCCAGAAGCAGTCTCCGATCTGCAGTGCAGAGGGCATCCTAGAGAGGGCGGGGGGAAAGGGGATGGGAACAGGGTCTTGATGGGAACGGAATTCAATGAAATGCAGAAGCAGCCCTTGGCTCCCTCTCCCTCCCATCTCCATCCTCCAAGAAACTAACCCTTCCATTGGCATCCAGTGCTTACTCACTGGGGTTGGTTGAAAGTACAGCAAGAAAGATTGGCATTAGACAATGAGAGTTCTTGGTCAATAAAGCCTGAGGGACAATATACCTAAACCTGTTAAGCTTTTTTGGACAGCCTTTTTGAGGTGTGTTTTTTTGTTGCCTACTTTTATGAAGAAAATAACCCGACCATAATGATGCAAAAATGTTGCAATAGGGTTAGCTACATCAATCATTAAGCTAGTGGGCTTAGAACCATCAAATGTTAGAGCCAGGAGGGAGTCTTAGAACAAAGCAGATAGAATCTCAAAGCTGAGATAGTTTTGAGAAGATAGAACTTGGAATGACTAGAGCCAAAAGAGATCTTGGAACATAGGGCATAGATATCAAAGCTGGAATGGTTCTTAGAACCCCAGAACTTAGAATATCAAAGCTGAAAGATGACATAAGGAGAAAGAGGTGGGAACTGGAGAGAATGACCCCTTCATTTATAAAGGAGGAAATTGAGTCCCAGAGGGAAGAACTTGCCCAAAGTCATAGAGTGAGTTGGTGGCATAATTAGGACTCCAGACTCTGTGTTCTTTTCACTAGACTCCACCACAATGTAAATCGTTAGTGGATTGGCCTGCTCCCAACATAGGAAGAAAGGGACTTCTCAGAAGGGCAAGTTAAAATCCTGGACTCTCCAAGCTCAAGGTCATGATGTTTACCTTATCATTCCTTCCCCCCAGCTCCTGTTACCCTCTCCCAGAAGAGGAAAGTTTGTTAACAGGCTATAGGATTTTGGAAAAGGAGGCCAGCGAAGATCGAGGAAGCTCTATCCCAGAGGGTCTCTCCCCATTCCCTTCTCCTGGACAAAATGCCCATGCCCTGAGCAGACTCACCCCCAGCCGGTTGCCCAGCGTCTCCCACAGAGCCTGGGTGGCCGAGGCCTCATCCAGAGCCTGTCTGATGAAGGACTGAAGAGTCACGAAGCGGTCGGCAGCCTGGATGGCCAGCTCCCTGGCAGAGTGATGCTAACAGAGGGAAGGGGCAAGTGAGGCACGGCTGGCAGCTCCGGGGTCTGGGGCAGAGCCACGTCCCTGCATCCTGCCTGACATGTGGGGAGAGGGGAAGACGTGACAGGTGCTGTCTTCAAGAAACAACCTGCATTTATGCAGCACCCTACGGTTTGTAAAGCACCATACATAGGTATCTCATTCCATCCTCACATAACAACCCTGTGAAGTGGGTGCTACTGTTATCTCTATTTTACAGATGAGGAAACCAAGGCTGAGAAAGGTTAAGTGACTTGAACAGGGTTACACAACTACTAAGCTCCTAAGTGGGATTTGAACTCAGATCTTCCTGACTCCAACTCCAGTACTCTTACCACAGAGCTGCCTCCATTATTTATAAGACTGTCATGTGAAAAAGAGTTTTGATTTATTCTGTTTGGTCCCAGAGGCCAGAACCAGGACCAATGGATGGAAATTACAGAGAGGAGATTTAGGCTTTAAATAACGAAGAATCTTCTAACAATTAGAGCTGTCCAAAAGTGGAATTGGCCTTTCTGAGGCTGGATGACCCCCTGTCAGATGCAGTATAAGAGGGGATTTCTGCTCAGGTAGAGATCTAAAAAGATGGCACCAGGTTTGGGGATTGTGAGATTCTGTGATTCTATGATACAGCATGTCTGACCTTCTCCCTAGACCTCACAGCACACATGGGACAGGAAACTGGTCTTTTGGGTTCTGATCTGAAAGACCCCAAAATCCCCAGAGTGACTCTCTTTCCTCCTTTTAAAAAAAATCACTTCCTTCAGGATTTTTGAATCAAAAACTTATCACATGTAGAGCAGGAAAAGGCTAGACCTGAGTGATTACTTTTTTACTCTGAGAACTTAACTATGAACCCAGTCTCCAAGTCTGGTGCTCTTAGAATCTCTGGGTGCTGCATTCACATAAGTTCCTACATTTGTGCTTTGTAAGTGATTTTGTGCTTTTCTCCTCTATCCTGTGGGCAGGGATACTTCGGATTAGGGGATCTCTAAGAGCAGAGGCTACATCTGTCCTCTCAGACCCAGGGCTCCCCGGGGGCAGGGGCAGGGGCTGTGTCTCCCCTCAGGGCAGGGCCTCCCCTCCCAGACAATACCTCGCCAATAGCATCTGCGAGTCTCAGCAAGGTAAGGACATACTGCTGCACATGATCTGTGAGAGGCTGGCAGAGGATGTGAGGCAAGCCGGCCGCCCCCGAGGTCTCCAGGATCACACTGGTCAGGAACTGCTTCAATGCCTTCCTCTGGCTCCTCCAAAACTCACTGTCATTCCGTGGCCCCAGAGAAGAAATGAACCCCATGGTAGAACCTCCTTCTTTTACCCTCCTTTATCCCTCTCTATTCCTAAGTCTCTAGGTGGCAGATTCAGGATTTGAACCCAGCTCCTGAGACTCCAAATAAAACAATCTCTCCACTCTTATCACACTGCCTCCCATAGATAAGTATAAACAGGTCTTTTAGTCAATCATTTATTAATGGCCCAAGGCTGCCCTAGGTTCAGCTGTGAGTCCTGGACTGGCTCCAGGGAGCTGTAGCCACTCAGTGTAGCATTCTCCCCGGCCCCCAACCCCACAACTGCCTCATTTCACTCACCTCTTCTTCCTGGTAGCCTTCTGAAAGGTCTGCATTGCCACACAGCTGGTATATATCACAAAATACCTGCGTGGACAACATTAATTCCCTCTCCATCCGAGATACCCCAACCTCCCTGCCCCAGACCCCCCTGGACTCAGGGAAAACAGCCACAGTTAACAAACCTATGTATGCCTTTGTTCATCATTCAAGCCCCACAGCCCCATCTGGGCTCTGAGCAAACACAGATGACACGACATCTCCTGCTTTTCTTTTTTTTCTATTTTTAATTAAGCTTTGTCTTGTCCTCTCTAATATTCCCTCAGCCTTAGAAGCTAGGCGCTCCAGAGAACAGGGCCCACATATGTCCTCCTCCTGTCTTCCCCACAATATAGCCCATCCATGCTGCTCCAGACACCATCTCTAGGTCAGCCTTAATTCATACTGCTATCATTCAGGGTTCTAGTCACAAGGCGTTTTTTGTTTGGTTTTTTTTAAGATATTTTGATAACTGTATTTCAATATAAATAATTTCCTTTGTAATCCTCTGTATTTTATTTTATGCATTTAAAAACACGATTCTGAGAAAGGCCCATCAGCTTCCCCAGACTGACAAAGTCACGTTGGTAAACAGAGACTGCGGAGACCGGGCAGGCTGCAAACCCAGACCAAGCCCACGAAATGACTCCTCATCCCCAGCACTCACCGCCGGTAGGCGTCCAGGAACAGGTCGGGGCTGCGAAGGAGGTGCAGGGTGTGCAGGCCGACAGTGGCTGGGGAGTCAAGCCTCTGCCTCAGGGTTCGGAGGCTGACCTGGGTCAGATCCCACAGGTGCTGGTACTGCTCGCTGAGCTGAAGCAGAAGCCGCAGGCACTCCTGATCCTTCACGTTGGAGGGTTCTTCTTAGACAAAGACAAAACATCATCCCCAGGTGGCTGCCCACTTTGGAGAAGGCATCCTGATATAGGCCCTTCCCAGAACTTTGGAGGGAAGACACAACCAGGTAGCCCCATGTAGCTGGGGCTGAGGCCTTCCCTCTTCCTCCCCGTTCAGTAATGAACGGTGCTCTCTAGGGAAGGCAAGGCATGTAGGAAGACTTGGGCAACCCCATCTTCTCCTAATCCCTCCATGCACACACTTGCAAACACTCATATATACACCGTGTATGTACACGTACACTCAAAGGCACACTCTCAGACACACACTCACAATCATTAACTCACAAAGGTGAGACTAGCAGAGATTGCGGACTGCTTTGCAGGGGTATGCAGGTAAAAGCTTAATAACTGGATCTCCAAAAACAATGCATGCACGCCACACATTTTAAGTTAATCTGCATTACATTTTATCCATCACTTTCTTAGACGATCAACAAAATAATAAATCAAGTCCCAGTCTGTAGGCTTTGCTGATCTCAGAGATGGAAATGCTCACACTGAACATTTAACAATTAGTTCTTGTGAGCAGGTTTGAAGTGACCTCAGTACACCCTGGCCCATTTTAAATTATCTAATTAAACCCACTCAGTTATTTAAGAGATATACCTACCTATAACAGATAAGAGAGATAATTAGAGCAGGTGGTTTAGCGAAAGGGAAGGAAAGGAGATGAATAGGTTTGAGGAGCCAGAGAAGAAAGGGAGGAATCACCCCAAATTGTTATTATATATACTATTATACCATACTATACCATACTATACTATACTATACTATACTATACCATACCATACTATACTATACTATACTATACTATACTATACTATACTATATAACATGATACTATATGTGTTGTTGTTTAGTCCATTCTGTCACATCTGATTTTTCATGACACCATTTTTGGGGATTTTCTTGTCAAAGATATTGGAGGGGTTTGCCATTTTCTTCTCCAATTTATTTTACAGATGAGGAAACTGAGGGAAACAGGGTCAAGTGACTTACTCAGGGTCACACAACTAGTAAGTGTCTGAGGCCAGATTTGAACTCGGAAAGATGAGTCTTCCAGTCTTCAGGCCCAGCACTCTATCTACTGTGTCACCTAGCTGCCATATCATATTAATTATATTATACTATGTTATATTATATTGTATTATTACATTGTGTTGTATTATATTGTATTATGTTATGTTACATTATATTGTATTGTATTGTGTTATATTATTATAATATTAACCCTCTGTAAGTCTTTCCAGACTGATTTCACATTATTGCCTTTCATAAACTCTCTGTTCCATCCAGACATCCCTTTGCTGGTCCCGGTACAATCATAGATAAAGATCTGCCAGGGACTTCAGAAGCCATCTAGCTCAACCCCTGCATTTGACAGATGAGGAAACTGAGGCTTGGAGAAGTTGAAGTGACTTGCCCAATGTCATTATGGCAGCCAAGTAGCAGTACTCCTTCTCAAATCTCTAAGCCTTTTTACAGGCTTTCCTGTAACACACTCCCTTCTCACCTCTCTCTTAGAATCCCATACCTCCTTCCAGGCTGAGCTCAGATGCCAAGGCTAAGCTCCTACAGGATGCCTTTCCTGATGACCCCAGCTTTGCAGTGTTTTTCCACTCTGACACCACAAATGACTTTGTATTCGTTTTGTCTGTCTTATATACCTTGTATTCACTCATTTATGTACATGCCATCTCCCCAAGTAGCAAGTTAGCTCCCTGAGGTCTCATAGTAGGCATTTAATAAATGCTTGTTGAATCAGAGTGCATGGAATCTGCCACAAGATTTATACAGTTCACCGAGAATCCCACAGCAAATTGGTGACTGAGCTGGGCAAGAAGCCAAGGCTTCCAAACCTCTGCCACCAATCAATCAGTGTTCTTCCCACTCATTTGGCTCTTAGGAATAGACAAGCTCAGAGCAAAGGGGGAGAGAGGGGCAGCCTGGCAAGACACAACTAAACTGGGTATCAAGAGAGGTGCATTCTGGACCCAGATCTGCTGCTTGCTGTGTGAATGTTGACAAGTCACTGACCCTCTCTGGGCCTCAGGAACGTGGAAATGGCATCTGCCCCAGATACCTCCCAGGGTTGTGGTGAAGATAAAGGAGTTCTTTGTAAACTGCAAAAGCTTAGGACGTGTGAAAGGGATGATTAAGGATGATAGCTTTTATTATTAAAGAGAGACAGCACAGAACAGTGTCTAGAAAGCCTGGGTTCAAGTCCCACCTCAGACACAGACTAATTCTGTGACTGAGTCACTGAACCTCCCAGGACCCCCAGCAATTCTCGAAGACTGGAAGATACAAAGCAGTTGCTGATATGCAATGGGATTTTCCACCAGAGTTCCTCACACCAAAGAAATCACAGATCCAGACAAAAAAAATAGTATTATTATTGTAGATCACAACTATCTCTATTCCAAATACACTGCCAATGTCAAAGCAGCATAGCACATTAACATTAAAGGAGACCATCCAGTCCAGGGGTGGGAAATGTGCAGCCTTGAGGTCACATATGGCCCTCTAGGTCCTCAAGTGCAGCCCTTTGATTGAATTCAAACAGGCCATAGGTTCCCTATTCCTGATCTAGTCCAACTTTGTCTTTCTAGAGAAGTGGAAACTGAGGTCCACACAGGCCCAGCGTCATGCTGAGCAAACTAGGGTAGACCTTGAATCTCTGATAACCAGTTCATTGCTATGTCCGCCTCATCACACCTCCTTGATGCAATAATTCGACAAACATTTATTAACTACCTACTGTGTGCAGGGTTCTATTTTCAATGCTGGGAAACATACAAAGTTTTAATAATTACTTGCATCGGGGCAGCTAGGCGGCACAGTGAATAGAGCATGGGCCCTGAAGTCAGGAGGACCTGAGTTCAAATCCGGCCTCAGACCAAACACTTGACACTTATTAGCTGTGTGACCTTGGGCAAGTCACTTAACCCCAATTGTCTAAAAAAAAATAATAATAGTAATAACTTGCATTTATTTGGAACTTAAAGGTTTAAAAAGGCTTTTATTTATCTGTGTACGTGTTTAAATCCCAGAAGGATACAGTTGCCTTAAAGGCAGGGACTGTTTTCACATCCCTAGCACCTAGCATAGTGTCTGACACATAGTAGGTGCTTAACAAAATGCTTATTAAATTGAATTAAATCATAAAGAGTCTTTGCCACAAGAGTTAGACTTTTTTCATAGATGGAGAAATTGAGGCCTGAAAAAATTAAACAACTTACCCAAAAGAAAAAAAAATTACCCTCTGATATAGGTATTGCAAGGACCATTTTATAGTTGAAAAACTAAGGCTCCGAGTGCTTCCAACTCTAAATCTATGACCCCTCTGACTTGCCGAAGATCACACTGCTAGTAAGTGTTGGAACGAGAATTTGAACTCAGATCTCCTGACTTGGAGTCAGACACAGTCCTCATCTTCCAGGAGCTTATACAGAGACAAGACACAAACAAATATGGGGTGGACATAAATCTGCCAAGTGGGAGGAAGACAGTGACCTTGCTCCTCTGGCTTAACTTTTGTCCCTCAGCTACACCCCCTCCCATTCATCTCTATGAGAGACGTAAAAGAATCTTAAGGAAGGGGGCAGCTAGGTGGTGCAATGGCCCTGGAGTCAGGAGGCCCTAAGTTCAAATCCGACCTCAGACACATAACACGTGTGACTCTGGGCAAGTCACTTAACCCCAATTCACACACACACACACACACAGAATCTTAAGGTGGAGAAGAACTTGGAACGGAGGAGGTGCCACTCCCCACACACCGCAGAGCACTTAGCAGTTTGTTGGAGAGACAGCCTGGAAACTGATTGAATTCAAACAGGCCATAGGTTCCCTATTCCTGATCTAGTCAGAGAGGTCACTCTGAGGTCAAGCCATCAGAAATGAAGTGGGGGCTATGAGGAATCTCTATTCCTAAGTCAGACTGAGGCTTCTGTCAGAGACCCTGTCCTTGGTGATCAGGAACCACTGCTTAAAAGAAATATTCTTAACGCCTCCAGGACCACTGAGCTGGCTGGATTGTATGTTCTAGAAGCCTGGTGCACCGGGCAATGAATCTCCTTTTGGAGAAGGAATGCCTATTATAGGCCGAAATCTGAGAATGGACAGGGCCTCTTTATGGGGAAGAAAAGTCAAATGGCTAAGGGATTTTCCCTAGCCTCATGACTGGTCGTGTGAGGCCTCTGCCTTGCCATGTGAGACCAGCAGAAAGAAATAACCTAACAGAGACTATGCCTCATGCCCACCTGCCTAGAAGACACTGCACACCCATGTGTTGATTCCAAAGCATCAGAGATGTATTCACCCTCTACACATGGGGTTCCCTATGAATATGCCTTTCCACAAGGCAGCTAGGTGGTGCAGGAGGTAGAGTGTTTAGGCCTGGAGTTACAAAGGACTGAATTCAAACTCAGCCTCAGACACTTATTAGCTGTTTGACCCCAGGTAAGTCACTTAACCCTTGTTTGCCTCTGTTTCCTCAACTGTAAAATGGAGATAATAGCAGCACTTACCTCGAAAGGTCATTGTGAGGATCAAATGAGATATTTTTAAAGTGCTTGGCACAATGGCTGGCACATAGACGGTACTCTATAAATGTTTATTCCCTCTTCCTTCCTATGCATTTCCTTGGTCACAGCTGTTTCCTACATGTGTTTATTCTTTGCACTGATGGTTTTCATATTTGTGGAATAGTGTAACCCAGTTTTTTTTAAATATTCTATTATGAACATTCTTACTGTATTACGTTATTAAATGCCTTTGTTTTTATTCATATATGTTCTCTGACTGATTGGTAAAAGTAAAAACATCAATGGGGGCTCATGAACTATAATATGAAGTAGCTACAAGCCTACAGAGGGTCTTGAGTCTGGAGAGATCCACTGAGCAGTGGGGGTTTGGGAGGTGTGGGGGAAGAGGTGAGGACACAGGATGCTAACCCAAAGGAGGGCATTACAGACCTTCCACTTCACCAAAGCCTCCTTCCACTTCACTAAATTAAGCTTTTCATTTTTAATTGTGCTTTAGTTAGCAATGTGGCATAAGTGGATCTTAGTCCCAAACCCACTAAGTCCTGAAAGGTCAGGGACTTGTTCATTTTTTCATTTGTGCATCCTCACTGCTTAGGCCAGAGTCAGGCAGACCTGGGTTCAAATCTTACCTCTCATATTTCCTAGTTGTGTGACCCAGGGCAGGCCATATAATCATTTTGTATCTCAGGAAAATCCCTAGATTTTCTTTATTAAGTCAGAGCTGAGTTGTTATCTGTATTGGTATAAGGAATGTCCAAACCAGGAGTTCCCACACTGAAAAAAGCACACTCTTTCGCTTATCAATATATTCCTAGTGCTTTGCACACAATAAGCATTGAATACAAGCTTGTATTTACAGACATGTTTCTTTTTCCCACTAGAATGAAAGCCTCCTGAGGACAGAGGTCATATTATTTTTAATCTTCATATTTTCAGTTCTAAACACAAGGCCCTATGAATAAATGAGTATAGTGAAAGGAGCACTGGGTTTGCCAATGCTGGCAAGATCTGAGTTCAGATTCAGTCTCTGGCATTTACTAGTTGTGTGATGCTGGCATATCATTTAATATCTCTGTGCCTCAGTTTTCTTACCTGTAAAATAGGGTACAATAATACCTAACAGGATTGTTGTGAGGGACAAATGAGACAGTATACTTACTAAAGCAATTTATAAACCCTGAATCACTACATGAATCATATTGATATTATTATTATTCAATACTTTAAGAATCTTTGATTTCATTGCTACAGATGCTTTTTCAACTACCGCAGCCTACATCCAAGCCTAGAGCTTTCTACTGTACCACATTGCCTTAAAGAATTTTGCGCAAAGTAGGCAATTAATAAATATTTGAGTTGAATGGAATTTAAATCACTCAGTAAATGAGCCATGTAGATGGGCAGTATTTCATTTTGTCTTTGTATCCCCACAGCCCGCATACAGTAGGCACTTAATAAATATTTATTGATTAAGTGATTGAAAGAGTGCTAGGCTGAAAGACTGTAGTAGACCTGGGTTTGAGTCCACAAGGGGACAAGGACTCAGTAGGGGATGGTACACAGACTCAGTTTATCAGGCAGAAGCAGAGCCCATAAGTTCGTTGCCCAGGGCCAAAATGGGACCCTTTCCAGTCCCTTCCCTTCCCCTCCCTCATTGCCTGAGACTCTAACTCACCCACTAGGAGCAGAGGTTGGAAGACAAGGGTGTTGATGCGACCAAGCAAGGCCAAGAAAGTTTCTTCTACTTGCAATAGGGATGTCTCTTCGGGAGTACACATGGCGTCAGGAGGAGTGCGGCAGGAGCTAAGTCCCCCGGCTTCATCGGGGTCCACCTAGTCACGGACAGACATAGTTTCACCAAGGCTTCTCCAGAAACTGCTGCCAAGATCACCAGCCCAGTCCCACCACCACTGCCAAAAACATCCAGAGAACCAAACAGAAGCAGCTGATCGGGGAACGGCTGAACAAAGTGTGGTACGTGAATGCAACAGCATCTTACTGCGCCGTAAGCAACAAAGAAAATGATGAAAGCCCAGAAGGATGGGAAGATTTACGTGAGCTGATGCAAAGTGAAGTAAGCAGAGCCAAGAAAACAATGAACGTGACTCCAATGTTGGAAATGGAAAGGGTAATCACAAAACAACCCATAATGAGTGCTGCAAAATTACAAAGAATAAACATGGCCCTAAAGAAGAGATACAAGAAGAAAGTCCCACCCCACTCCTTTTTACAGGTAGGAGAGCTATGAGTATGGTGTGTTGCACATATTTTCAGACTTTTTTTGATATAGTGATTGGTTTTGCTGATTCTTTGTGTTTCTTCTTTTTTCTTCTTTCTTTAAAAAGTATTATTTGTTATATGGGAGAGCTCTCTGAGAGCAAAGAGGGGAAAAATACTGAGTGGTAATTTGGGTGATATGAATTCTGGTAATGTAAAAAAAAAAACCAGGAGATATCAATAAAACATGCTTTAAAAAAAAAAAAAGAATGAATGTTGCAAAATTACAAAGAATAAGCTTGGCTCCAAAGAAGAGAAGATACCTCCTCCCACTCCTTTCCCGAGAGGAGGTGGACCACATGGGTGGAACATTACATACACTGTCAGATTTTTTTCAATGTATTGATCATTTTTGCTGTTTTTCCCCTGTCTTCTTCCTCTTTTTTTTTAAAAAAATTCTTTGTTATAAGGTATGACTCTATGGAAAGAAAGGAAGAAAGGGAAAGACACATGAATAAGGTAAAAACAAAAGATAGCAACAAAATTATTCTAAAAAACCAGCAAGAGGAATATGAGTTAGATTCCAGCAGAATAGCTTAGGAGAAAGAGTGCTGGACAGAGCGTTCTTTTCCTGACACCAACATTAACTTACTTGATTCTAGACAAGTCATGTGGAGAATCAGGTTTCTCTTTTATCAAATGGCCATTAGATTGTAAGTTCCTTGAAGGCAAGGACTGTCTTTTGCTTCTTTTTATATCCTCAGAACTTGGTATAGTGCCTGGCACATAGTAGGTGTTTAGTGAATGTTGATTATTGATTAAAAGGAGTACAGCAGTGTCTTCCCAGCCTGCCTCACTAGGAAGCTGAGGTCTAACAAGAGTAATGAATGAATCATAGAATCTCAGATTCGCTGGGAGCTCAGAAAGCCCCTCGCAGTACAGCCCCTGTATCAATCTCTTCTACAATATCCCCCACAGGCAGTCCTCTATGCCTTCAGGGACGGTGCCACCATTTCTTACTCTCCTTACTCCCAACCTACTCTTGGACAGCTCTGATTGCTAGGAAGACTTTCTTTTTTTTTCTTTTTTTTTTCAACCAAAGAAAAGGTTTATTAGAACATCCGTCATATTGGGCAGACTCTTAAGGAGCGTGAACATTAGTAAGCTATTGGCTTGATTATAAGAATCAGAGCAGTGGCTAGATTTTAAGAATCTCAGCCTTTTAATGGAGACAAGATGGACCTTATATACAGAAAGACTATGGGAGGGATCTAGGAGTGGCCAAGTAGTCTATGAGGTAATAGAATTCCAGGGACCTGGACCACATGGCCAAGGGAGAATAGAGAGGTGGCCTGAGGTCATAGGGAGGTCCACAATGAAAGGCCAGTTGATGGGATTATAGCCTGAGGGGAACGCCAGAGATTTGGCCATGTGGGAAAGTCCAGGGTTTTTCCTTTCTGGGGCCCAGATCCCAACCCCATCATTCCCCTCTCAAACAAATGGGACCCAAATTCTTTTGGAGTAAGGGGCAAAGGTCTCGGCTTCTGAAACTGCTTCCTGCTGGCAAGGGGCGTAGAGCCATCCCTGCCTCCAGGGGGTCCCACAGATGAGCTTGACTGGAACCAAGCACAGGCTGCATCCAGGGAATGATGTGGGGACATTGGCTGGTACTCGCTGTTTGCTACCAACTGTAGGTGAACGGTCCATAGTCCAAGTTTGGAGGCTAGCTTCATTACCTTGAACAAGATGTGCTGAACCTGGGTGATGCTTCCAGGCAAAGGTTGTCCTAGAGCCCAAGGCCATTGCCAGGGGGGCCCACACCGTAGCTGCTGCCCCTCCCCGCTCCTTCCTTTCCCAGGTAGGGGAGGGTGAAATCAAAGGTGTTTCAAAACTCCCTAATGATCAATCACAAAACCTCCAGAATATGCCAAGATATTTTTAGCTGTTCTAACTTTCCCTGTAACCTCCATGAAGGAGGATTCAGAGGTGCAGAGGGAAGGGAGTAAGTAAGCCTCAGGGAACCAAAAAGCAACTGCAAGTTTTCCCCAATTCCCTAGCGCCGAGGGAATTCATACACTTCCAGATAGGGCGTATATCCTTATCCTCTATGCTGCGGAGGGTGTACCCAGGTCCATGGCCTTCCACGGACCCAGTGGACTGAGAGCCTGAGAGCATCAGGCTGAGTGCGAGACAGCCTTGTAACTGTCTGCCAGAAAAGTACCACCGAGCCTTGGTGCTTGGAGAGCGACCCCAACTGCAGAGCAGGAAAGGAGGGGAGGGGGGAGGCTTACGTACCTTCCAGTCTTGGCTGGAGAAGAACTTGGGGTTAGGCAGTTTCCCCATATGGGCCACCAAAATGATGCAGTTTAGGGGTTCAGGGGTGCTGGGACCCCAAAATCACAACACTTGGGTCCTGCCCGAAAGAATTTGACCCAAGCCTTCTTTCAGCCAAAGTCAAGGTTTATTAGACCATCTGTCATATTGGGCAGACTCTTGAGGAGTCTGAACATTAGTAAGCTATTGGCTAGATTATAAGAATCCCGGCAGTGGCTAAATTATAAGAATCTAAGCCTAGGAAGACTTTCTTTACACTGAGCTGAAATCTGTCTTGGCAATTTCTACCTTCTGTTAGTTCTGCCCCTGGAGTCTAGTCTCTCATACACATTAGAGCCCTTCAAAGACTCCAAGACAGCTCTCTGGTCTTCCCTAAGTCTTCTCTTCTTCAGGCTAAACATTCCTTCCACCAGTCTTTTAGCAGAAAGGAGATGAACCCAAGACGAAGAATAAGATGCACATTTTTGGGACATGGTCAATGTGAGTATTTGTTTTGCTTGACTGTGTATATTTGAAATCAGGGTTGTATGTGTGTGTGTTTGAAAAAGTGATTTTATACATTATATATTATGTAATATAATTATTATAATTAGTATAGATTATATATTAGAATATATTCTATTATATAGGAAACTAAAAAACAGATTTAATATATAAATAGCAAATTTATTTTGGAAATGACATAAGTAAAAATCTTAAGATGAGTTGCTTCTTTTGGCCAACCATTGGCCATATGGCCCTGATACCTCAACTGTTAAAGTGTTTTGCTATTCTCCCAACACTTCAATCAATCCGTGATCTCATCCATGAGGGCACTCCCTCTATGGTGCTGATAGTAACCTATCTCTACCATCTCTTACTCTGATTCTTTTCCCTGGTCTCTCATAGAGATTCTCCACATAACTACCTACTGTGCTAGAGGCCTTTCTCTGCTTTTTACATTTTGTGGGTACCAGTCCATCACCTATCCTGTCTTTCTGTTACTCTCTGATGGTTGCTACATGACTGGTCCATCATACTTTTCCCTTTTACACCAGTTCTTACACACAAGTCTTCAGTGGAAATAGACATACTTTTGCCCACTACCTAGTTCTCATTTGCCCCAGAATTTACCAGAAAACTTTAATTTTTCAGAGATCAAGGTGTTCCAAGATTTTGAAAATATCGGACTCCTGGAAGAACATTTAGGTTGAAAAGATGATCATATTTTATAATATACTTCAAGAAGAGGAAGATAGATAACACGTAATAGAAAAATATGACTAATATCATCCTCTTTTAAACCCAATGTGGTCCATTGAATATTGAATATCGAATATTGAAAGCTCTTAAACCATATACCTATTTTCATATCTTAACAAAAAAATTGTTTATCTTTTATTATGTAAAATAAAATACTGTTAACTTATGTTGGAAGATTAAGTTTATGTATGGCTTGAAAAGATATCCCAAAGGGACCAATCAAGTATTCTGTTTTGGGTTTTGTTTTTATGAAGAGATACCTAAATATAGTCTGTACCAAATTCAAAAGGTTCATCTTCAAAAAATTTCTGAGGTGCAAAACACAATTGAACACAGTGCATTCCTTTTTCAACATGGACCTATTCATATCCAAACCTGCTCAGGAAAATGCCTATTATCCCTTATCCACTGCACCACCACATAAATACCAAAGAGCAATCAGAAAGCAAGCCAAGTTTAATTCTCCCTTTGCTAATGCAAAGCTGCTCCCTGCAACTTATCAACTTTTTGAAGTTGGGACCCATTTTAGTGTGTTCAGTCCAGCCCTCAAACAAAGCAAATGTTTACTTCTCCTTGGATGTCCCTAGAGCAACTAAGGGATTTCTGCGTCCATTGTGTCAATCTGAATCAGGTCAGACACTATTATCAGTGACTAGCTTGGTAAGGTCTTCACTAAAAACCTGCCACCTCAGCTTTTCTGCCTCAGAATCAGCAGGCGCCTCCATTCTATAGCACTGAAAGGTTACAACTGTGTGGTAGGTGGGGTACTGAAGGTACCATGCTCAGTGATAGCTGTCCTGAAGCAGAGCCTAGGCTGCCAGAGAGATGGGAGTACTCTCCCAGCTACGACGGTTCATCCAATTCTTTAAAGAAATAATTAAGGTAGTAGAACAGAGATTTGTGGGGATGTTCATCCAGTTCTTTAGAGAAATAAGGTAGTGGGGCAGATATTTGTGGAGATGCTGGAAGGAGACCCGGAAATGCAAAACTCCCAACGTGAGTAATTCCCACTGAACAATGCTAACCCTCAGTTCCCAGAACCAAGGTTCATTCTTGGGATTTAAACACCTGTGAGAGACATTGATGATATCTCTTGTCCTGAGGTGTTGCTCCTCCACTTTACCTGCCAAGTAAGTTGCTGACATGGCCAGGAGATAAGGGTCATGTGCGTCTAATTTGGTCTCACAGAAAAATTTGTGGTAAATGGTGCAGGCTACGGCAATTTGAATGGATTGCATCCCTAGCTCGACACCGGCCTCCACGATGAACTGTGCCACTGAGAAGTGGACTTTGGCCTCAGAGGCCAGGTGCCCCTCTTTCCTCACTTCACCTTCTGTCTAGACTCCATGGCTAACACCCTCACTCCCAGTGTACACCTGGCCTCTTGGGCCAAAAATCTAATTCAAGTCACAAGGAAGGACAAAATAAGATGAACCCAAAGAGGAAGAAGCACACACCACTGCTATGATATGTAACACGAGAACCTTAAAACTATGCACCTGTTAGCATCCACAAGAAGTTTCCTACCATATATCTTTATAGTCACCCAAATTGCCTGAAAGGTACAGAGAAAACAAGATTCTGCTGCTTAGTATTTTTTGGACAATAAAGAAGCCTTTGATTTCACAGATTAGCATACCATCATTTAAGGGCACTCTTCCAACGGGGAGTCTCTCATCAGTATGTTAAGATAATACAATATTCCTTGATGAATGCAATCAGAGATAACGCTGATCAACAGCACTTCAATTACTAACATCAAACAAAGCATAAAACAGAAGAGAGATGCTCACCAAAGGTACCTGTCAGTGTCATGGAAGACGTCCCAAACAGAGTAAAAGTGGACAGTGAGGTCCTCTGATTTCATGTTTGTGAAGCCCCAGAACATTATGGAGTTTCCATACAGGGGAAAAAGTGGGGGGTGGGTGAAAAATGCCTGTTGTCCGGAATATGACATGCAGTTGGATGGCCAGGCATGAATCGGTTCATATCTGCAGAACAGACATGGTAGATAGACAACGAGTTGGGCAGAGAATCATATGGGTAGAAGGTAGACTGGAACTATGTTTGTGAAACTCTGCAGGGCATTCATTTTGCATTTTCAGCATCAACAGTATCCGATGAATAGGTTAGATTGAAGATGCTTCAAGTTGTTTCTTGAGGTGCCCCGAACAGTGCCGGGTTGGCCCCTGGGGGTCCCTTGGCCTAGGAGAGGAGAAGGAAGAGGAGGAGGAGGAGGACAAGGAGGAGGAGGAAGAGGAAGGGCCAGAGCTGGTCCCTATGGGACTGCTGTGTCTCGGGGGTCTGAAGTGGTGATGCTGTTCTCTTTTAGGGTGGTGATGATTCCTGGTGTGGCCCAGAGTCATCCACAGTTGCTGCTAGTGAGCTCCTAGCTAGAGCTGGGGAGCTGGGAGCCTCAGAGGGCCATGCCCATGAAGCAGGTAGGTGGGCGGGCTCTATAGGTTTTTTTCCAATTGGGAGAATAGGATGTGTGTGTGGAGGAGGGGGGAGGGGGGAAACCATAGGCCACTCTCCCTCCACCCTGAGAAAAGAAAGGAAAATTTAAGAGGCTATTTCAGAGGCCCTCTTCTCTTTCTATACTTTCTTTCTTGGGATCTCATCAACTCCCAATGGGTGCAAATGTCCCATCTATGCAAATGCCTCCTGAACCTACATGTTCAACTTTTATCTCTCTCCTAAGCTCTAGTCCTCCATGCTTAATTGACTGTCTATTGGACCTCTCCAAAAGAATATTACCCCCAGGGGCAGGTAGGAGGCACAGAGGATAGAGCACCAGCCCTGGAGTCAGAAAGACCTGAGTTCAAATCTGGCCTCAGACACATAACACTTACTAACTGTGTGAGCCTGGGCAAGTCACTTAACCCCATTGCCTAGCAAAAAAAAAAAAAAAAGAAAAAGAAGAATATCACCCCCAGGCAGCTCAAACTCCATGTGTCCAAAGCAGAACTCATCATCTTTGCCCCTAAACCTACCCTTCTTCCCAACTTCCTATTTCTATCAAAGTACTGCCCTCCTTCCTGGTACCTAGAATCAACACTTAGGAGTCATCTTCAACATTGCACTCTCCCTCTCCAAACAATCCTTGAATCTAATTGGACCACATCTCTCAAATCAACCTCTTTTCTCCACTCCCATGGCTACTACCCTAACCAGGTCCGCATCACCCCTTGCCTTGACTATTGCCACAGCTTCCTACTCGGTCTTCTTGCCTACAGTCTGTCCCCTTTGCAGTCCATTCTCCACATGGCTGTCAAAATGATTTCTCAAATCACAGATAAAACCAAGTCAAGAAACTGCAATGATCCCCTGTCTCCTTTAAGGTAAGACATAATTTGGCATTTAAAGCCCTTCACAATCTGGCCCAAATCTATCTTTTCCAGTTAATTACACATTATTCCCCTTCACATGTTCTACTATAGCCAAGCTGGCCTCCGGGTTGTTTTCCCTACTTGACATTCCATTTTCTTTAGTTGTGACTTTGAAGAGGGTCAGCCCATTTGTGGAATGTTCTCCTCACTTGGCTGTCTTGGAATTCCTAGGTCCCTTCGAGGGTCAACTCAAGTGCCACCTTCTACCCCATTTTCCTAATTATTTCTTTGTTGTTGTTGTTGAGTTATTTCAATCATGTCTGACTCTTTGTGACTCCATTTGGAGTTTTCTTGGCAAAGATACTGGAGTGATCTGCCATTTCCTTCTCCAGCTCATTTTACAGATGAGGAAACTGAGGTAAACAGGGTTAAGTGACTTGCCCAGGGTCTCCTAGCTATAAGTGTCTGAGGCCAGATTTGAACTCTGGAAGATGAGGCTTCCTGATTTCAAGCCCAGCACTCTATCCAGTGTACCATCTAGCTGCTACCCAATTACATTGTATTTACTTATCTGTATGTATTGTTTCTTCCCAATAGAATGTAAGGTCCTTGAAGGTAGAGATTGTTTTATTTTTGTCTTTATATTCCTAGAGCCCAGCATAGTGCCTGGCCCTTAGTAGGTCCTTAATAAATATTGAATTGATGCCTTCACCATTCCAGACACTCTACTTTTATTTCTGTTTTGCCTGGAAATCCTGTGGGTCTTCCCCTCCCAGGCTGATGATTTTTTTTTTTAAAACTAGGCCATTCTCTGCCTCATTTCTTAACTTGTCTTAATCACTGAATGGGTATTGCCTCAGTCAAACTGAGGCCTGTTAAAGACCTTACCTCAAAAAGACCAAAGTCTCCCACTGCATCCAGGGCCATTTCCAGTCATCCTGATCTATATCTTGCCACTGGACCCAGATGGCTCTGGAGAGGAAAGAGAGGCTGGTGACCTTGCATAGCCGTCCCTCACTTAAACCCAGTTCATTTGCAAGTCATGGCATTACCTCCCTGATGTCAGATCCTCTTCAAGAACAAAGGACAAACAACAATACCTACTAAGATTGGGTTGGTGTTTCTGGCTGCCATGTCAAACTGCTCAGTTCTGTTGACTGCAGGGTCTTCAAGAACCCTCTAGAGGACGCAAACCCCCAAATTGTCCCAAAGGGCCAAAGACATGATCGCTGCCCTTAAGAAGCTTCCAATCTGGCTGGAGAGACAAAACTACCATACAGGAAACAAGGAGAGAACATTACAAGGCATTTTTGTCAACTCTGGAAGGCTCTATTCCCTGCCTGGGCCTGTTCCTCACTTTCTCTGGACTTCAAAGCCAGGCCCCCTCTTCTGCTGGTTCAGCCTGGAATTTCCTTCAGTGCCTGGGGCTGCCTCACTCAGCATCATTCTACTCTCTCTGCAGCCTCCTCACCCTGTTATATCCCCCCCTAAGACCCGTTCCCCTTCTCTCACTGGTGAGTTTTTCCTGGAGCTTCCATTCGTGGAGGGGACCAGCCTGTCCTACCTCCATTCCCCACCCACCTCACCCTGTTCCTGACTTTCTCTAGATTTTAAAAATGTCCCCCCTCTCCCCATAACCATTCCCCATGCTTCTGGGCTCCCTTTTATGTGCGGGCTTTCCATATTAGAATGGAAGCTTCCTGAGGGCAAGAACTGTCTTTCATTTGTGCCTGTATTTGTAGCCCTAGCACTTAGCATAGTTCCTGGCACACAGCTGAAGCTCAATAAAGGTTTGTTTCCTTCCTTCTTTGCTATATAAAAATGTGAACTGTGATCCTTATTCTACTTCTAGTCAGGGTTGCAAGGGCTCAGGGAAAGAAGAAAGCAGTGTGGGTTGGGGGCCAAGAGTGAAGAAGGAGGCCCCCTGGAAAAGTCAGGACTTGGGCTAAGCCTTGAAGGATGGCAAAGATGTGGAGAGGTAGAGATAAAGGAAGGAATAGTATGGACCTGAGGGTGAGGGCTGGACAGATTTCCTGGAACAGGGTACTAGAAGTCAGGGTGAATGTGAAAAGGTAACAGAAAAGAAGGACCATATTCCATCCGTCCATCTATTCATTCAGTACTTCGAATGCCAGGGGATCAGTGGAAGCTCAGAGGGAGAGAGGCAAGGGGTGAGTCACTTCCTGCACCCAGAAACTTGCACTCCCTGCCCCAGCCAGGTCTGAGCAGGTTGGGCAGGTAGGGACTCAGAAGGAAGCGAGGACACAGATGGGGCAGTCAGACTGGCTGGGTGAGGTTGAGCAACGGTGACTGAGCTGGGGAGGCCACAGGCAGCGGAGTGGGGAGCTAAGAGGGGGCACTGTGCCAGAGGCAGCATGGTCTGGCGTGGAAATTCCAGTTCTGCCATTCATTGAGTATTACTGGATGCTAGCATCTGAAATCTAGAACTGGAAGGGGTCCAGAGGCCACTCTAGCCCAGCCCTGTCTTGTTACAGATGAGGAAACTGAGGCCCAGGGAGGTTAAGTGACCCACCGAAGGAGGTAAACATCAGAGGCAGCATTGGAACTCAGGTTCTCTGACTCCAAAGCTTATTTTTTCTCCACTGTACCAAACTGCCTCCTTATAGAACCATGCACAAGACTCTTAACTTTTATGTGCCTCCATTTTCTAATCTGTGAAAAGGAGATGATATTTGGACTGCCTACCTTCTGGGGCTACTGGGATGAGAGCTCTTTATAAACCTTATGTCCCTATATAAATGTCAGTTGTTATTGTTATTATTATTATTAATCATTAGTGGAGGGAAACAGATAATATAAAACAAAAGATTATATAACAAGCAGCCACACATACAGTAAGCATTTATATAGTGCTTTAAGGTTTGCTAGGCATCTTACAAATATTATCTCACAACAATCCTGGGAAATAAATGCTATTATTACCCTCATTTTGTAAATGAGGAAACTGAGGCAGACAGAGGTTAAGTGCCTTGCCAAGGGTCACACAGCTAGTAAGTATCTAAGGCCAAATTTGAATTCAAGTCTTCCTGATTCCAAGTCCAATGCTCCACCTACTTTGACATGATGGAGGCCAGCCCTGAAAGGGCTCAGGTCTCCTATTCTAACAGGCAGTAAGTAATGTTTTGTGACACACTGATATGAGATCACAGAATCATGAGACATCAGAGCTAAAAGGGGCTTTTAGAGATCCCTAAGACCAAACCTTTCATCTTTAGGTATGGAACCATAATTTAATGGAAAGAATCACAGAGTCAAGACACCCAGACTAGAGTCTCAGCCCTACCATAATTCACTAGCTGGGTAACCCTGGGCAAGTTGTCTGGCCTCTCTGGTCCTGGGGGAATATTGAACTTTATACAGGCTGGAAGTGCTAGATAATAACAATAGGTAATTATTTATTATTAAGCCTTCCTTTTTTTCCATTTTGTGGCTTACAAAATATTTCCCTCCCAACGCTTCTGGGAGGCAAGGGGAAAGGAAGAGGGAAGAGGGAAAGGAATAAACATTTATCCATGCCAGGCATTGTGCTAAGTGCTTTACAAATATCATTCCATTTCATCCTCATAATTTTTACATGTATTTTATTTTTATATGTTTATCCCCATTTTACAAATGAGAAAAATAAGGCAGACTTCAAGAGGTTAAGTGACTTGCCAAGTAAATATCAGAGGCTGGATTTGAACTTGGGTCTTCCTAGGCTCTATCTATCTGCCTCCCCACTTAGCTTCCTCTGGCAGGCAGGGTTTTTTGTTGTTATTGTTGCTGAGTCATTTCAGTTGTGTCTGACTATCCATGACCCCATTTGGGGTTTTCTTGGCAAAGATACTGGAGTGTTTCCCATTTCCTACTCCAGCTCATTTTACAGATGAGGAAACTGAGGCAAACAGGGTGACACAGCTAGTAAGTGTCTGAGGCTGGATTTGAACTCAGGTCCTCCTGACTCCAGGGCCCTTGCTCTATCCCCTGTACCACCTAGCAGCCATAGGTAGTTTAAGGAGTGTTATTTTTTGTTAGGCCAGTGATTTCATCAGCGAAGGGAATTCCCTTCAGATAAGCACATCAGCAGCTCCAGCTTTAAGACTTAACAGTCTTAAAGACTTGCATTGAGGCACCGAGAGACAAAGTGTCTGGCGCAAGGTCATGGAGCTACTCTGGGTCAGTGGCAGGACTAAAACCCAGGCCTTCCAGATTCCAAAGTTCAAGTATCTCAGTTATCATATACCATATACTATATACAGTTATTGTATACCATCTCTTCTCATAGAGAAGGAAACTGAGTCTCAGAGAGGAGAAATGCTTTGCCCTCGATCACACAGTTCACTAAAGGCAGAGCCAAGACCAGAACCATCATCTCCCGCCCTCTTTTCAGTACAACAGGGAACTCCCAGCTTTACCCCCAAATCCTCGTCCTCCCATCGCATCTTCCCTATTACTGTAGAGGACAAAACCATCCTCCCAGGCCCCCAGGCTGCCAACCTAGGAGCCATCCTGGATGCCTTACTATCTCTCACCCCCTATTTCCAAGCTGTGACTAAGGCTTCTAGATTTCACTGTTGCAGCATCTCTTGAACACGCCACCTTCTCTTCTCTGACACTGAGACCACCCTGGTACAGGTCTTTATCGCCTCATGCCTTGATTACTGCATAGCCAGATGCTGGGGTCTGCCTGCCTCAAGTCTCTCCCCACTCCAATCCACCCTCCATTCAGTCACTAAAGTGATTTTCCTAAAGCACAGGGCTGAACCTGTTAGCCCCCTACTCAAAAAACTCCACATAGGGTATCATACCCTTACCTGCAGGTGCTCTGCCCAAAGGAATGTCAAGTTTGATTGCTGAATCCTTGCAAGATATCTTGAGGTTTACAGCTAGATTTTTTCATGAAGGACCATGCCTTAAACCCAAATCACTTGGGCTTTGATTGATTGGCCAATAATAAGTCCCAGGCCAATGCTCTTTTTGGCATTCAAACCCTTCCTACCTTTCCGGTCTCCCTGCACCTTACTCCCCACCACATACTCTTCAGTTCCGTGACACTGACCTCCTGGCTGTTCCATGAACGAGACACATCATCTCTTGGATCTAGGCATTTTCTCTGGTGTCCCCCCCATCCTGGAATGCTATCCCTCTTCATCTCCACCTATTAGCTTCCACAACAAGCCTTTCTCCAACCCTCTTAATTCTAGTGCCTTCCCTCTCTTATTTCCTATCTGCCCCATTTATAATTTGTACATATTTGTTTGCACTCCCTCCTTGGGGGCAGGGACTGTCTTTTGCCTCTTTTTGTACCCCTAGTCCCTTTTCCCAGGGCCTGGCACATAGTAGGCTCTTACTTAATGTTTATTGATTGACTGACTGACTTGTTCTCCCTTAGGTATAGTCTTTTCCCCTCTGGATCTAGCCCAACTGAGTCAATCTTTAACCAACAACAATAAAGCCCAACACACAGCAGGCTCTAAGACTACTATTCCATAGAATCCATTATTTCCCTCTACAACACAGACTGCAATCCATCCATGCCCACACAGAACCATAAAAGCATTCGGTGAATATGTGTGGATAGCAATGATGGGCTGCAGCCCAGTGTACTGGATCAGAAGTTAGGAGTCCCAACTATGGGCCTTCTCTCTTGGCCTCAACTGGACTTGATGATTTTTGAGGTCTTTCCTGGCTCTGAAAATTTATGGGTATCTGATCAAAGCCAAGTAATTTAAGGGCTAAAATTAAATTAAGGGTGCCTATCAACTGAGGAATGACTAAAGAGATGATGACATTATCACAAGGAATGATGAAAATGACAGATTCAGAGAAACCAAGGAAGTCAGACTGGAAATGATGAAGGAAATGAGTAAACCAGGAGAATAACCAGGGTTACAATGGAGTAAAGGAAGAAAACTCAGAAAG